TCACAGTAATTTTGCCCATTGTTTCCACGTGAGTCTTTCTAGGCTTCCGTTCCGGTCGGCCAAAAATCGGCGACCGACATCCGATCGCCGGCTGAATTTGTGCATTTGCGCGTCAACATGCCAGGGAGTGTTTGCGTACTCAAAATGCGTGGTAAAATATAACGCTGCCTACGCAAACACTCTCTGGCATGGTGCGGCCGGTCCAAAATAGCTGACCACCGTACCCAGACCGACCGACAACCGACCGAACTGACCTATTGACCGCCTTTGCGCTTAAAAATGCCAGCACTTTTATAAAATCGAGGAACACAAAATCACGGCACCACCGCATACTCGGTTCGCCCTACGAAAAATGTGTTTGCTCCTAGTTGAGATCCATGTTGTTCACTTTTTAGAAGAGCTTGTGAATTGGACGGGAAGTAGGTCAATACTTCTGAAAACAGTTTTCACTAATAAAATTGCTCAGAATTAAGAAAGACTATAAGGCTTCCATTCGTTCGGGAAGTTTGGCCGACCGACCGACAGCCGACCAAGACGGCCGAGCGGACGGCACCTGACCGATCGGTTGGCGCGCCGACCGTTTTCGTGCATTTGCTCGTCAACGTGTTTGTATATTGTATTTTACGACAAAGTACTTACTAAATGTTCCGTTTGCCGTAAAATTAAGTGCTTTGTGCGCAAATATAGGCATTTTGGCACTCTTCTAGAATCACGGAACGAAAAAAAATCACGGAACGAAAAAATCACGGAACGAAAAAAAATCACGGAACGAAAAAATCACGGAACGAAAAAAAATCACGGAACGAAAAACAAAATCGCGGAACGAAAAATAAAATCACGGAACGAAAAATAAAATCACGGAACGAAAATTTTGGGTAATCCAAAAATTGCTATCTTCTTCACTTTGACAAGTAGTATCCGTAATACTAACTTTGGCATCAATTTTACTTTGTCCAATACCCAAAAGTATACTAAAAAAGGGTTTATCAATTTCTTAAGATACGCTAGTTAACAGGTTACATAGGACCTGTAGAACATCTGAAAATTCAGTTTAAAGCTACATCAAGCAGTTATTGAGCTTGCTGACATTTTAGGGTGTTCCAGATAAAAGAAGCATGACGTTTCAGCCTATGCCTGTGATTGAAAAAAGCTTCTTCAATCCAAAAATATCATCCAATTTTTGAAAAATGAAAAATAAGATTTCTTCAATTATAGGCTTAGGCTGAACTCATGTTTCCTTCATGTGGGACACGCAAAAAACGACGGGAAGTTTGATAACTCTGCTCGTTGCAGCCTTTAACCTAACTCTCATATGTCCCATGATCCTCAGAACATCTGGGAAAGGTCCTATGTAATCTATTAATCATGTACACTATCAACTAGTGTACCTTAAGGACTCAATACCACATTTCGGGTGTCATTTTGGATACTGAGCAAAAAAAATTTAATGTCAAGGTTAAATTTCAGGATAGTACTTGAATGAAGGTCCTTGCAATTTTTGGATTACCCAAAATTTTCGTTCCGTGATTTTATTTTTCGTTCCGTGATTTTATTTTTCGTTCCGTGATTTTATTTTTCGTTCCGTGATTTTTTTTCGTTCCGTGATTTTTTGTTCCGCGATTCTAGAAAAGTGCCGGCATTTTGAAGCGCAAAGGCACGAAATCGGTCAGTTCGGTCGGTTGTCGGTCGGCTGGGTCGGTGGTCAGCGATTTTCGACCGGCCGCACCATGCCAGAGAGTGTTTGCGTAGGCAGCGTTATATTTTACGACGCATTTTGAGTACGCAAACACTCCCTGGCATGTTGACGCGCAAATGCACAAATTCAGCCGGCGATCGGATGTCGGTCGCCGATTTTTGGCCGACCGGAACGGAAGCCTAGAAAGACTCACGTGGAAACAATGTGGCAAAATTACTGTGACTGGCATGAATGAAAAAGTAAATTGGGACCGGCTGAAAACATAAGAATGTGAATATTTATTCTGATAGAAGCCCTCCAGAACCATCAACTTCGAGCTAATTATCTCGCTTTCTGTGAAATATATTAAAAACTTCTTAGCTGATAAAACATTGGTGATATTGTGATGAATAATTTTCCAATGAATTACTTTTCGATATCTTTTACAGGAAACGAGATAATTGAGCTCAAAGTTAACGGTTTGGGTGGGCTTCTATTCAGAAGAAACTCACAATATCCGTATCATTTTTTTTCGTCCTCTCCTCCAGCTCCTTATAAAAAGTCTCAATCATATTTGGCTTTTTCGTCACAATATGTGCATCCATCCACCAAATATTTGTAAACTCTGTCATAACTTCTGCAAGGATCAGTGGCTTAAATCGATATGTCATCCAATGAGTAACATATTCCGGATATCTGGATGTATTGAAAACGCGGACTTCCAGATACTTGAAATCTTTTTTGATATTGGTGATGTAGATTTCACCAAGTCCCAAACTATATAAAATGAATCTTCGACGAGGGTAAAACTTGTAGAAAGCGTCGATGGAGGCAGTGGCTTCATTAAAGTGATTGTCGGATACAGCGGAGACGAAAATTACTTCTTTGGTATTTTCAGCCGTATTTGAGAGATCAATGAACGGACCAGTGTTGTCCACCAATTCTGGAAGTGATCAAAGTAATTAATAAGTGAAACCTGTAGAAGCGCCCTTGCACTGTCAATTTTAAGTTCAATTATCTCGGCTCCTATAAACAATATCAAGAATGTGTCAACAGATAAAAGATTTATGATATTATGATAAATAATTTATCAATTGACACCTCTTTCATATCTTTGACAAGAAATGAGATAAATTGACTCAAAGTTGAAAGCTGAAGGGCCCTTGAATTTCTATGACCTACTTAATCTTTCCAAAGTCGCCAAATGATTACAGCTAAATTGCTTTCCTATCGATGACACATTTTGCGGGTCCATATAGCAAAAATTATGGGAGTGACCAGTTTTCTGGGAGACACAATTGCAGTCCTCTTCCTTCTTTGGAAGCGGTACCGCTGTACTGCCACGTGGCAACTCATCGATTTTGCTAGTGGAGGGTACTAATCTGGACTGTGCTACTGTAACTGATTTCTGTAATGCAACACTATCCGAGACTGCTTGATAAGGAATTTCAGCAGTTAACTGAAAACATTTGAGTTAGAGATCTGGGCAAGGGAATCGAAGTACCTGATATTCTCTGATCTTTGTATAATGCAATGAAAATAAAAATCCGGAAAAAGTTACACCAAGCATGAAGATCAAGGGACCACGGAGAGACGACTTCATGGTGGAAGAATGATCTGGAAAATCTATAATATAGAATAAATATGACGAAAAGATAAAAAAAAAGGTGAAGCAGACGTCATCGAGAGGAAACCTTGTTTGGAGGACTAAGAATAGGTCAAGTTCTTAGCAAAGACAAATGTTTAGCAAGTCTTAAAAGAGGCAAGACATCAAAAATTGTTTTTTTTAAATTATTTGGATAGAGTACCCTGATGAGGTGAGCTCATGAGGGACATATCAGGGTACACCGCCGCTACCGGCTGAGCCAAGCGGGCGCGGTACCGGAGGCCGACCGACGTCCTATATCAGATCGACGCGATTTTGTCCACCTCTTTGAACAGCAAAACTTTAGATAGACAAAATTCCATATTCTGTCAAAAAATCACATTTCTGGCGATTCTAAAAACCGAGATAGAGCCGCTTTAAGTTTAGGAGGCTAGAGACGCAGACGACGAGAAACGCCGCGTCTCTAACCTCGGGAACTTCAAACGACCGTATCTCGATTTCTATATGAGCTAGGAAGCCTGCTTTTAGACAGAATTGCATGGTTTGAAATCAATTTTTTGATTATTGATGAAGAAGGGCTAAATGACTAGACATACAAATGTCATTCCTGTCTCAACTACATTAAGGAAAAAAAATCTTTTCAAATATTGTTCTTCTAGGTTGTGTGATAGGACAATAAGATTGCCTATCATTTCTCTCATTTGCGTACTCCTCTTTCTGTTATCTCTTCGTGTTACACCCTCTACTCTTCATTCTATTTGCACCGCATCGGTCGGAGACGGCTGCCTTCGGGCACCCTCTCTTATACCGACATATATTTAACCTAATAAATATATAATCACCGCATTTACTGTACTGCACATTCAGAAATTGATACAAATGTCTGGCGAGACATTTTTGTATTACAGTTGATAGAACAAAAACTTTTTTCTGTGTATGCTCTGTCTTGGTATAAAGACCAACATCAATTTTGCCGAGTTTATATATTTACAGAGATATAAAATTTTGGAAACGTACAAATACAAAAAAACGATAGCATAGAAATTGTTTCCAAAAGAAAAAGCAAAAATCAGGACGTTTCCGAAAAATGGCTTCCTATGACAACGGAGCTCTATTTCATGAGCCGTGTCAGAAATGGAATAATTCATATCTTTGAAGACAAGGAAACTTCTCAAACGGATATGTGTTTCTTGGTTGAATTGAAAAGCTGGTAGAAACTTCAGAATGGTATTAGGTTGTTCAATAAATAGTGGTCACTTTTCTTCAAGTAGTTTTTTCTTCAAGGAAAACAAGAATCATTGAGAAATTATTTCGCCATTGGAGTTCATAACTTCTTGCCAGCGCAACGGAAGTTAGGCAATTCCGTTCGCGTAGAACTCTGGCGACTTAGAGGCAAAACAGTGTTCCAAAAATTTCTTGACACCCTTCCGATCATGGACATTCTCACCAGCAAGACGATTCTGGAGAAATCAGACATGGCAGTAATTAGCTAGTGCCAGGTCGGCGGTGTACGATGGGCAATGCAAAACTTCGATTCCTAGAAGATGGAGTTTGTAACGGCTCTTCGAATATTTGTGTGGTTTTTCGTTGACATGCAAAAATTTCAACACTGAGCCTCTCTAGAGGTGAGAGCGATGTGCATAAATACCACTTTCCATTTGAAAGCAGTAGAGCCAAAGTTGATGGCATAGGAATCCGGAAGCAGCTTGCGGTATTTTACTTCAGCACTGTCTAACCGAATCGGAAAAATCCGATTTTTTCTTGAAGGTTGCCTTTTGAGACCGATTCCACCGTTTCCTTTGCAGAGAGCCATAGGTGCTTACTGGCATTGTTAACATACAGTACCCGTTCATCATCTCCAATGATTGTTTTGTTGACCCAGTCCGTCGTCGGTTTCCTGGAGAGGAGAGAAACGGACAGGTCTCATCGGACCTTTTTCTAAAAATTGGTCAAAATGTGGGGAACGATTTTATCGACTCTCCGGACTCTTCCCGTTTGAGGAACATGATCTGTTGCGGTGCTATTAGGATGGTGGGCTGTCAAAGACAATGCACGCAAAGTAGCACAGAGCTTTTCCTCCAGTATCATTAAAATATTTTCATTTTTATTAAGGATAGGCCTTTTGGGTATTGGTTTATGATCCAGATCATAATTTTCTTATTCGAATCTTTTGAACCAAATTTCAATCGTGGTTCGAGAGATGAGGTCTACGTCTAACATTGTGCACTTTGCTCGCTAATGGTCGTTGTTCGAGAGACCTTGGAGACATATGATCAAAGAAACACTTTTGAGTATCCCGTTATCGAGAAAATCCTCGGCCGTTAGACAGTCCATTCGGAATTTTTAAATGTCTATTAAACATGCAATGTGTGACGTCTATAAATATAAAAACAGAATTGAAAAAAAAACCCAAAATTGGATAAGCAACGGTAGAGCGAAGTGAAAGTGACCACTATTTATTGAACAACCTAATAATAATGTAAAAAATATGAGCTACATCTAAATGAAATTTAACAACAAAAAAAATTGGGAACGTTTCGGGGAAACAGACCGCGCCGAGCTTACGCTCGCGTAGCTCAGCCGGAAGCGGCGCTGTACTCCTGATCTGTCCCTCATGAGTTCAACTCCTCTTGGGGGTTCTCTAGGCTAATGTAATACAAAAATGTCTCGCCAGACATTTAGTATTATTTTCTGGATGTGCAGTACAGTAAATGCGGTGATTATATATTTATTAGGTTAAATATATGTCGGTATAAGAGAGGGTGCCCGAAGGCAGCCGTCTCCGACCGATGCGGTGCAATAGAATCAAGAGTGGAGGGTGTAACACGAAGAGATAACAGAAAGAGGAGTACGCAAATGAGAGAAATGATAGGCAATCTTATTGTCCTATCACACTTTTTTTTTCGATGTCTTGCCTCCTTTCAGTTTCTGACAAATAGAAATTATGAAACTAGGTTATAGGAATCCGAGCTTCATCCAAATTTGAAATACAATCACCCAGCTCTAGAGATAGCAGTAAGCCCAAAACAAAATTTTTGAATTCCATATAATAAGCGGCTGAACAAAAAGAAACAATTTGATTGTTGTATATTCACTCAACATCCGCCCTCCCTCGCTTCTTACTATTTGATTGTTGGTAGGTGGTCTATTATTTGTACAGCTTCTACTTCAGTGAAATGCAGATATGTAGGAAACATTACATTTAAATTATATGTAGTGTCGGCTCACGGACCTTTCTCATCTACAGTAGCGGTCAATAAGATATACAAAAACGAATTTTTCAGTTGATTTTCGGAATTTTCAGGAGTCTGAATCTCGTCTGTCCAGCTACCGGAAAATGCTGCGAATGCAAAGTTTTCAATCTAGGTCTGTTTCCGACCCTCCAAAGTTTTCAAACTCAAAACTACCGTAACCTAAAATTATTATTATTTTCAGAGTGTTTTTACTCGAGTTTTACTCGTTTTTTCCCGATTTTTTTGTATTCCCTCAAGACTGTCTGAAAATAAAACAAAAATTGATTGAGCAAACCACCATCGAAACAAATATCAACCTCGAAAGATCAGGATCAACCATTTCTTTCTTTTTAATGTCTTTTGCAACATTTCGATTTTACCATTCCTGGGACAATAATTACAACTACAATAAAAAGGATCTCTATCTCCCAGACACCTGAATGTCCGCACTCTCAATTCTTCGTATCTTCCACAAACTTCACTTTCTCTCCGCAATCTTTACTCACGTTCTTATTGTCCCTCCAGGCCCAGGGGAAACGTTCCGTCGATAGCTCAGTTGGTAGAGCGGAGGACTGTAGAGTCAGTGGGCATCCTTAGGTCGCTGGTTCGAATCCGGCTCGACGGATTTTTTTTCCTTTTTTGAATGTGGTGATAATTGCTCTTCATTGTAGAACATTCAAAATTCGGGTGTTTTTCCTCACGACTCATGCGGCATGAGAGCTGTGTGTTATCATTATGGAAGAATAAACCTTCAATTAGAGGTGGCCACCTAGGTGGGCTTTTATTAGAGGAAATACGGTATACGAATTTTGAAATTTTACTGGAGTGACCTAATTGATTTCTCTTTCCCATTCGATTGATAAAATTATAGAATTCCTTATCGGAAGAGTCAAAAAGTGGGGTCAGTGAGATTACTGCATTTTTATATCACAGTCGCTCATTGAGATTCCTACAACAGAAAGTCATCATTCCCACAGGTTGAAAGTTACGAGCCGACCTAACGTACGCGCGCAGCCGACACTTCCCGGGTTCCGCCGCCCGCTATACTTTGTGTGCGAAGTGGGCGGAGCCTAACGAGAAGGGAGAGAAAAGAGGGAAAAACGTTGTTGCTTTGTGAAACAAAAAAAATTTATTGGTGAGAAAAATTATCAAAGAAATGATATGAGTCTACGAACCCGTAGTAGTTCAAAAATTGGCGAGATTCGAAAGAAAAATTGACATTGAAATTGGGCGGAACAGGAACAAAATGCGGAAATTGAATTTCCAAAAGAAATGAAGAGCTATCCAGAAGAAGATAAACGTTTGGCAATGAGTCTAGACTTGTTTCCTATCAACTCTATAAAGCAGAATGTCGAATAGGCGGATCTCATCTGGAGACAAATGATGGAATGATACCAGGTCGTTGGCGAATGCTGCGTAGCCCTGGAATAGAAGAATTAGCTTGAAGAGTTTTGTTGTAAGTGCGCTCCACGGAAAATTTAGGAAAATATCCTACCTTCTTCTCCAAAAATTTGACCCAATCAACGCTGGCTTTGGTTTGATGAAAAGTTTCTGTTGGGGAGAATGTGTTGAATCGATTCTGGCCATGAGAATTTCGAGTGTCTTCTGGGTAGATTCCAGCGTTGGCGAGACATCTAAAAAATGTTGATTGGTTAAAGGATTTTCCAAAAAAGAGATAGATTTTTTAAAAACCTATTTTTGGTTGAAAATGCGGCATTTGCTCTACAAGAAGCCTACCCGATACGAGCAATTTAAGCTCAATTATCTCGGTTCCTTTAAAAGACATCAAAATGTGTTCAACAGATAAATTGTTTATCATAGTATAACCTAAATTTTATTAGTTGAAATATTTTTGATACCTTTCATGAGAATCGAGATAATTGAGCTTGAAGTAAGTGCACCTCACGCGCATTTTAGGTGCATGCGTGCAAACTTTGAGCCAACTTATCTCGGTCCTTGTGAAAGATTTCAAAAAGTAATTAATTGATAAAATGTTTACCATAAAATAACCAATATTTCATCAGTTGACAGATTTTGTATATCTTTGACAGAAATCGAAATTGAGCTCAAAGTTGACAGTTTGGTAAATATGCATTTTTGGTTTTCCAAATTTTCACTAAGCTAGTTCAAAAGATCATTTCAAAAACATATCGTTTTCCACAAGGTGCCCCAACAAATATCTGCTTCAAAAAATGTGATTCTATTTGTTTTGTTCCAGGTATTTGAACAGCTATACATTAACCAAAATGTTATTTCATCATGGCCGGATACGTACTAGGACACTAAGAATAGAAACACAACACATTTCGGAAGAAAAATACAGATAAAAATTGCATCTAATGAGGTATTGGAAGGGTCAAATTATAAATTTTATCAGTTACCGTATTCCCTCTAATAGACCCCCTCGCCTACAGATCATTATCTTTAAGCTCAATTATTTCTATTCCTGTAAAAGATATCAAAAATTTGTCAACTGATAAATTGTTGATCATAATATCTTCCTTAAACAAATATAAAATGCTGGACGCGTCTGTTGGTCTTGGTGTCAGTCTGTCCGGTTTTGGGTTTTCAAATGAAAGGTTGGCCGGCACCAAAACCGAACCAGCGGCCATCCGCTCAATGGCTGCGCACGCACACAGCTGCGCCATGAAGGCCACACCAGGAGAGGGGAGAGATGACGTAGATGTTCTACAGTGTGATAATGAAAAATCGAAAAGTGAGGGGTGGAGCGACGAACAATGAATTGCGTCGAAGGCGCAGCAGCCAGCAGGCTGGTATTCAATATTTTACCAGTTGACTACTTTTTGATATCTGTTACAGAAACCGAGATAAATTGACTCAAAATGTACGCATAGGGTACGTTCCGATGGTTTATGAGATATACATATGCTGCTAAAAAGCTGAAACCGTCCATCATAGAGGTAGATACAAAACTCACCTTGCAATTCCAACATCCTCATAAATATCATCTGGACACAATGTAGCATTTGGATACAGCTTCTCCGCGAAAATTTTCAATGCTGCTCTCGACAAAATGTATCCAGCACCACCTGCGTTGTATCCATTTTTCAAGTATGGCTTCAACACGTATCCAAGATAATGAGGTTCCTCTGGATTTAGAGTCGAGAGGAACGCCTTCAAATTTTCCACGATGACGTATGTATCGTCATCTGCCTGAAAAAAGAGAGATTTCAAAATCTAAAATTCTGAAGTACCGTGAAACCTGTAATGAGCTCAATTATCTCGGCTCCTAAAAAAGATACCAACAATTTTATAACTGATAAAATGATGATATTCTGATAATCAATTTATCAGTTGACACTTTTTTGATATCTTCGACATGGTTCGAGATAAGTTGGCTCAAAGTTATGGGGCTCTTCTATTACAGGTCTCACGGTATATAAGACTCACCTTCAAGTACCAATCAAACTCCGAAGAAATGTTAGTGTAGATATGACGGAATGCATAACGACTTTTGAAAAACAGATTATAATAGTTATCAGGGATCCCGGCAAACACTGTAGAGTACGGTATCCGTGTGTCGTTGAACTTCTCAGAAGTGAATAGTTGTCCATGATCGCATCTATGAATCCACGTCTCGTTGATTGCAAGTGATCTAGTATCATGATAAATTGTAGACGTTTGCACCCAACAGAACAGTTTTCCGGTCTTGGGCAATTTTTGAGCAGCAGGTGATACTACTATTAAATCTCGAAGTTTGTCATCGTTAATTCTGAAACTTAATTTAAGGATAAAATTGAATCAAAAGAGAAATATATACCTGTCATATGTGGCTTTTGGTGATGTGTCTCGAGTAAGTAAGTATACTGTAATAAGCAAAGATCCTAAGGCCAATATCAATGCAATTGTGGAGAATATAAGCTTTTTTCGAGGCTTTTTCAGCGATTCCAAGGAGTCTAGCTCGTCCTGAAATTTTTTTAATTTAAAAAATTGCTAAAGTTAAATCTTACATCATAGATATTATAATTATCCTCCGTCTTGCAGACTAGTGTTCTAATACTTCCACATTGCACCATTGTTGTCTGAAAGAAATAAGTGGGTTCTTATGACTTAGCAATTGGTAAAAAAGTAAACTCGAACCCAATGATAACGTGAAAATTTTCGATTTCGATACATAGATAGGATTCTAGGTGGGAGGGGGCTTTCAGGTATAAATTGTGAGTAATAGGAATAAGAAGCTGTAAGAAGCAGAAGAAGGAGAAGAAGCCAGAGTGGCTGCAACACCTCGAACAAATAAAAAGGAAATAGTATGGATTTCGAGGAGAGGGACAGAGAGATAAGTATTGAAAAAAAATGAGAAGAAAAAGAAGAAAAGGTGGTTACTATGGTGAACTGATAGCAGAGAAAGAAAAAAGAAGGAGTAGTAGAAAGAAGAAAAACTAGAAGACAAAAAAACCCGTTTACTCTGTTACTGATTATAGTACCGGGCCATTTCGACCATTCTTGAAGCCAGGAGCTCGTCTGTCAAGTTTCCGCTTACTTTGAAACTTTTGGAGGGTGTATAACAGACCTAGATTAGTAATGTAACTGAAAGACCTCCTAGAAACACTAACTGCTAAAAGACACTATTGAAAACAACGAGATGCAGAGAGAGAGTGAGAACCACAGACAAACGCTATGCACTCACAGAACCTCTATGCACTCAAAGAGACCTGTGTAACCTGAAGACTAGAAGAATACAAAACACAGATTTCCTATAAAACACTATTTATTGAATTTACTCAATAAACCACTACAAAACCTTTAAAACCAGTGAGCCACACTTTAACGGGTCGTCCCCAATCGTGAGCGAACACCAGCGAAAACTAAAAAAACGATGAGAATTTGCCGAGAGAGGAGACGCGTTTTGGCGCGCACACAGTTTCGCGCGCGGATACAGTAATCCACACCTCTTGCACGTGTGTTCGGGGGAGATTTTTCTCCTTTAGACTTGGAAAGAGGATTTTAAAAGAGAAAACACGGTAGACCGTACAGATTGAAAACTTTGCAACCATGGAATTTTTTCAGAATTCCTATCTATTCCTATCTGCCGATTTCTGAGAGAACCGTTTTTGTACAGAATCGATCGAATCCCTTTTTCATAGGGGTTAATTAGAATTACAAATTAATGCCACAAGGGCAATACAGTTGGAGCAATACAGTTAGAAAAGAGAGAAAGAGAGAGAGAGAGAGAGAGCCTACTGAATTTAAAACAAAAAGCTACATATTGGATAAAAACAGTCAATTGTCTATTTCAGAGTCGCCCAAATAATAAAGTTGAACTACTGTTTTTCTCTCATACACCCAAACCGTCAAGCTTGAGCTCAATTATCTCGGTTCCTGCGAAAGATATCAAGACATGGATAACGAGAACAATGCTTATCATAATATCACAAATATTTTATCAGTTGACCACTTTTTGAAATTTTTAACAGGTAAGATAATCGAGCTCAATGGCAGCCCAAAATAAGTGTTTATTTTAGTGGCGCACTTATTTTAAGCTATATTATCTCGGTTCCTGTGAAAAATATTAAAAATTTGTCAACTGACAAAATATTGATGATATTATGATAAACATTTCATCAGTTGACAACTTTTTTATATCTTTTACAGGAAATGAGATATATGGGCTCAAACTTGATAATTTGGGGACATTCCATGTCAACTCACCATAGGTCTTCGCAGAATTATCATAGCCAAAATTCAACTGGAAATATAGAAAAAAAAGACTAGAACGATCGAGACTCCATTGAAAATATTTTCTTTTTGGCTTTGTATTCCCGTTGTTCGATGATGACACAAATGTTCGAAAAACAAATACGTTTCAATGAAATCGGTTGGCAGTCCTTGGGGGAAAAAAAATAAAAAGTGGATATTAATTTTATGAGTTCTGCAGTACAGGAAGTTCAGCAAACTTCTGAGAACTCTATAAAAACTTTGTCGTCTACGCATTTTCGAAAAAAAAGATCATGTAAAAAAAGTTTTTGGCACTCATCCAACATAATATTCGTCCTTTTTCCTCTTTCTCTCTCCCAGTGTGTGACAATTTATGTTCGCGTATTAGTTGCTTCTTCTTTATGATGTTGCACCAATCTTTCCTCTCCCAACAGCAAAAACTTTTTCGTGTCATAAGCTTATGTCTATTACTAGTGGCGGTCCCTCTTTTTCTGCTATGTGTCGTCTCGTATCACTTTTCAGTCCATACATCATCCAATGGACCACCACTCTCTTTCGCTTTCTCTCTCTCTCTCTCACACCGATGAAGATAGAAAGTTTATGGAAGAATTTTGAAAATAGAGGAGAGAGAGAGAGGGAGAGAGAGAGAGAGAGAGAGAGAGAGAGAGAGAGAAAGAGAATGTAAAAGAACTGGTAGATTTTATGATTGGGGCCAGATATAAATTGGTAAGGAGATAGAGAATCTGTTCTCATTTTATTGGTTTATGGTGGCTGGTAAAAAAGAAAATTGTTTGGATTTTTGAACAGAAAGATGTAAAGCTATAAAACTACCGTAAAACCTATAATAGAAGGGCCCCCACACTGGCAAGTTTGAGCTCAATTTTATCGATTCCTATTAGAGATATCTAAAGTATGTCAATTGATAAAATATTGGCCATGATATGGCAGGCATTTTATCAGTTGATAGGTTTTTGATATCTTTTGAAGGAACAGAGATAATTGAGCTCGAAGTTGACGGTCTGGGAGCCTTCTTGATTTGAAAAATATCCAGAAAAAAGTTCTAAAAAAGCATTTTTTCTGAATTTTCAGAAAGTTTAAAAAATCATGCATTTCGAAAGAACTCAAACTCTTTCCAAACTTATACACCGGGAACAAAAAATTCGAAAAATTTCGAAAATTCTTCCCTTCAGAACCCTGAGCTCCAGAAGAAAAGTTCCCACACCAAATTGAAGGACAATACACAACAAAAAAGTGAATCCGATAGAGGACGGACCATAGAAGATTGGATGACGACAAAAAACCAAGAAAAAAAAAGAAGGCGTCGTCATTCACAAATAAAAGCGAAAAAAAACCGACATGAGACGATCAAAGATTGCGTATGTGGATTCAGAAGAGGAGGACACTCGAAAAAGGAGCTAAAGGAAAAGATGAATATTGAAGAAATGGAAAAAGCCACAGACATAAACATAATTAACAAAACAGGGCACAAACTAGACATGCAAAGTGCAAAATTTTCAAATTCCAGAAATAAAAATAAACAAATCCGGTCAGTTTCCGGAGTCCATCAAGGTCCACCGGAATCAAAACATTACATAATAAATCAGCAATGATAGAAGCACTCTTTTTTGTTCTCCCACAATCACTTATCACTTCCCGTCAGCTGTTTTCAAAACACATGCTCTTTTCTCTATTCTGTCCTTCTTTTTTTCTATTTTTATGATGCCCCCTATTCCTCCCACTCGTCTATGACTAACTTTAACTTTAAAGTTGTTCCCCATTTTTTCAAAAATGTCTCTAACTTTTTATGAGCTCCTATAGGTATTTTTATAACTTTAAAAATAGTCAAGGATCAGAAAAAGAGAGATTTAGAAAGTAAAACAAAAGTAAGTAAGGGTGTGAAGTGTTGGTAAAACAAGGGAAAGGAGGGAGAGAGAGAAAAGCGAATTACGGGGTGTTGGGTGAGATGGATGGGTGCATACGGCAGATGCATACACAGAACAACACAAAAAACACCGACATTTTCTTCGAATGAAAGGGTGTCACGGGTGATGGATGATGGTATAATATTGGACAAAAAAGTGGGGAATGGGAAATGTGCAAAATGAAAATATATATTGAGGTGCTATAAATGTGAGGTTGATAGGGAATCGAATTGTAAACAACAAAAAGGGAACGTTTTGAATTTGAATAGGAAGAATTCCGAAAAAATTCAGAATGATCTCGGTATCTAAAAGGGCTTCGAATGTTCTTCAAACAAGACAAACATAAAATGTTTTCTAGATATTTTTTTTACGCGGGCGCGAAGGCGACTGTCCACTTTGAGCTCAATTATCTCGATTCTTGTGAAACATATCAGCAATATGTCAACTAATAAAATATTGCTAATATTAGGGTAAACAAATTATCAGTTAACACATTTTTGATATCTTTCACAGGAAATGATATAAATGAGCTCGAAATTGATGGTTACGGTACACTTGTATTAGAGGGAATACGGTTTTTGTCTGGTTTCCCGAAAAATTCTTAAAATCATTTTTAAAAATTAAGTTTTTTGAGAAGTTTCAACTCGTTCAAACATTCTTTTAAAATTTCAGAAATTCTGAAAAACAACAACATTTCTTTTTTTATCCGATACTAACACACTTTTGGACCTGGAAAAAAAAGAAAATCAACCTAATTTTCTCTAAGTTTATGTGCCCAAAACGTCGTAAACTTCCAGAAAAAGAGCGCGAAATTTGAACCAAAAATGTTTTCTTTGAATAATTCAGACTGTGAAGCATCAAAACAAGTAAACATCGGTCAAAGATTCTGCTGAAATAAAACTGTTGAAAATACTTCTATAAATTCTGAAAATTCCGTAAAGCCTCTAATAGAAGGACCCCCTAACTTTTAACTTTGAGCCAATGTATCTCAGTTCCTCTCAAACATCTAGAAAAATGTCAACTGATAAATTGTTTATCATAATATCACCTATATTTCATCTTCTGACAGATTTTTATAGCTTGCACGGGAATTGAGATAATTTAGCTCAAAATTGACAGTGTGGGGGCCAATTCTATTTTAGGAAACAACTATCACAGAGAGAGAAACAAAAAGACCATGACCCAGACTTCACCATTAGAACGTCTTCATTCTTAACTAGTTGTCTTTTTTTTTATCTCCGACCTTGACTTCTCCATAAAATCGCAATTGAAGGAATGTTAGAAAGAAAACTTTGAAACCGACGGAATGACCAGAGACTAGCGCCAGCTATAACGAGCTGCGTTTCCTTTGATGAGCACAATTTGTGCTTCACATGCAACATTTATGAAATTAGAAGAAGAAGAAGACGGAGACGGATTGGAATGAGATTACCCTTTTTCTATTCTGGGATTGCTTATAATGAGCAGAGAAGCTTTGATTTTGAGAACTCGCAAGTACAGAAAAAAGAAAGAAAGAGGAGAAGTGTGAAAAGTACAAATGATATATGTGTTATAGGAGAAAATGAAATATCTCTCGAGGGAGGTATCACTCAAAGAATTTGTTGAAAGGACTCGATCCAAGGACCCAACGTTTTATACTGCTAAAGAGCAAGGGTCCTATTTTATAAACTTTTGGGTATATTCTAGGTAATAATTTATAAACAATGAAATCATTTGGGCCAAGAGGAGTATCAGATTTCAGTTAGACTTTCACTTAAGCAAGTTCAAGTTTTGCACACCTTGTTATGCGGAGCAGACTTTGAGGGCTTTCTGGAACAAGAAGACAGTGAAAAAAAGAAGAAAAAAGAAGGAATGCCATGTGCTGAGGACCACAACAACATGTTTTCTGCTTTTTCTTCTATTTCTTGGCTGAAATTCCACTATTTACTTTGACTCAAATTTCCCAGTCTGAATGTGATAAGACGCCGCATTGGGCGGGTGGGAATGGAAGAACACCCCACTTTAAGCCGGTATATCTCGGTTCGTGTAACAGATATCAAAAAGTAGTTAACTAATAAAATATTGATCATATTATGGGAAATATTTTATCAGTTAACCACTTTTAGATATATTTTATAGGAACCAAGATATATAGGCTCAAAGTGCAAGCACTTTAAAAAATAAAAAAATTAATTTTTATAACTTCAAAAATGATTTAACCTCACAGTAAAAATTTAAAAAAAGAAAGATAGCCTAGAACTTTTATGTTACTTTAGAAGTATAATAATGTTGGTCATTTTTTGGCAACTCCAATTTGTGAAAGTAGAAAAGTAAATAACGAAAAAATGCCGCGCACAGAGACCGACTGAATCTGACACTTCCAAAATAAAATAAAAACCAGCCATCCTTGTCTACACCTGCTATGAATTCAAGAAAATACAACAATCTCATGAACGAAAATTGACCTTATTTGCATGTCTATGTGTGGGTGAGAAGAGGCGGAAAACCTGAAAAGGATTGCGGTCGGCAAAATGGTGGCGAAAAGACAGAATAGTTGCGCAAGTAGTCCTTTTACGGAAAATGGGAAACGAGAGACAAGGGGGCTAGTTGGAGACGCAGGACGTTTGACAAAACTGAGGAAAGGTATATAGAGGATGAAGAGGAGGAGGCTTGGATTCAAGAGTGCTATGAAAAAGACAAAGGTGTGAAATTCTAGGTGGAATCTCGCAAAAAGCAGGATTTTGAAAATTCAGAAATCCGAAAGTTGTACCAGTTTAAAGGTTATTTTAGTATCAAGCTCATGCATTCGAGTTTGATTCCCTATCAAACTTCAGATGGAACTAATAGCACCTTTCAAGAAAACTGCAATATCGTGGAACTTCAAAATTTTATCACATTTTCCAGGATAGATTAAGGATAGCCTAACTAGACATCCCTGGAAATTTAAGAATCAGCTCATAGCTTTAAAAACCGCTCTCGACTTCTAGAAGGTTTCAGGATTTCAAACTTTCTGTTTTGAGCCGTAAAACCTCTAATAGAAGAGCCCTTTAACTTTTAACTTTGAGCTCATTTCTTGTGAGAGATGCCAAAAAGTAATACACTGATGAAACGGTACCCATAATCTGGTAAACGTTTCATCAGTTAAAAACTTTTTGATATCTTTTCCAGGAACCAAGATAATTTGGTTGAAAGAAAAATTGGCTCAAAAGTGACCAACTAGCTTCCTATGGAACCCTGAGGTGCTCCAAACCAAAAATGGGAACCTCAAAGTTTTTGCAAATTTCAAAAATTCTACTCTGCACAAAAACTGACAGACTCAAGGTCTCTCTATTTTTGAAAAAAAGTGACGAGAAAACGAAATGACATAAATCCGTTAGCACACGACACCTCTGACGAGACGGATAAGTGAACGTTTTGGTCCTAAACTCTTGGTTAAAAAGCAGTTTAAAAAAAATAGAAAACCTCAAAAATGATAAACTGTTCGAAATCAGATTTAAACTGTATTAATATCAAGCTTAAAGCTGGAGATTTTGAACAGCATGTTTACAAAACATGATCAGCTAAAGCAGACACAGTAAACAATGACATGTACCCTTAATCAGAAGATTTCTTGGGAAGTATTGTGGTTTTTGGTGCCTAGATATTAAAAAAAGCATGATGCGAACAATAAATTGTGAAATATGATATAAGAAAACAAGAAAAACTACCGTAATCCCTCTAATAGAAGATCATCCTATATTTGCGCTTTGAACTCAATTATCTCAATTTGTACAAGAGATAATAAAAATTTGTTAACAAATAAAATATTGCTGATTTTATGATAAATATTTTATCTGTTGACAGTTTTTTGATATCTCTCACAGGAACCGAAACATAGGGGCTCAAAGTTAAATTACAGCTTTCACAGCGTGTTGATTCCTAGTGATCCAGTTAATTAATCTTTTTGTACAAATATAAAGTTTTTTCTTCTGAATGCAAATCCTCCAAACATAAAAAAAGCGGCTTCCGAAGTGTGTGCTCTTGACCCTAATCAACTAAAAACGAAGAACGAAAAGCAAGGAAAATGGAAAACAAAACAAAAATAGCTTCAGGGCGGAAAGTGAAAATGTTGAGAGAACCCACCTAATTCCCACTATGTGCCTATTTGGCATAAAAAAGTGAGTGAGAGAGAGAGAGAGAGAGAACAGCAAAAAAACGGGAAGCGTTCGTTCTTTTTTCACAATTTCAAACTTGGTTAGCGGGTCTTTCCAAAAGTCACTATCTTCTTTTTTCCAGAAACGAAACAACAACAACAGTCAAAATAGAAAAACATGATGATGTTTTTTTGGAATTTCAATCGGATCAAAATCAACTTTGTGTTATATTTGTGCATTCATGTTGTTTTTATACTGTAGAAATGACTAGTGACAGGAGATGCGAAATGAATAAAAGAAGAGGTGCAAAAAACATTGGTGTGACGTTGAAAAAGTTTGAAACATTGGAAGGTGCAGAATGTGAGGTCCAAATGGTCTTTTCTGGAATTATGTATGAGGGTTTTGGTGATGCCAGAACACAAAAGATGAAAAAATCTCCTCGGAAACCTCATTTTTTGCAAGGGTTTTATTGCAAAGTTTTATATGATCACCAAAGAAACACAAGTTATATTTTTCTGTAAACTTTGAAATTTTATTTTCATTTTCAATTTTTCAGTAGCTTAATATCAACAACAAACAAGAAATTCATAACAAAAACAACTTAAAACCATTCAACAAAGACATAAATACCGTACACTGTGAGCTCAATTATCTCAATTCCTGTGAAAGAAATCAAAATTCTGTCAATTAATAAAATATTGGTGATATTAAGATAAGCAACTTATCAGTTGACAACTTTTTCATATCTTTTACAGAAATCGAGATAATTGAGCTTAAAAATCACGAATAGGATGTGCTTCTATTGGAATAATATGATTATGGTATACAGATCACCCAAGCCTCTGGATTTGCTCATCATACTCCTGATGAGTCTCCAAATGTGTTCTTTGAATCACTTGAATTCCATTGCTCATTTCCCTTATAACCGCCATAGTTTTCTTTTTGACCTCAAACAATTCGGTTCTCTTCTCTCGATCCAAATTTTTCCTCTGGTTCTGGTTTTGAGCTCCATTTAGCTTATCGGAATACTCCGTCTCGATTCGATGCCTTTCCAGTTCTTGCAATTTCGTTTGATAGAAGTCGAAATTCAGAGTAAGGTGGTAGACATGGGGCTGTATAAATTTCTGAAATAAAATTTATATGATTCAAACAACAATTTTAGGTGTCGTAGGTTGTTTCAAATTGACCAGGAATTCAGTACTAAATAGGATCAAAGCCCCAAAATGTTGCTTTTTAAAGTTTTCCTTTGAAAAACTAACCTTATACATTTCCTCTCTTGGGGGTACTGGACAAGTGCAGGGACTATTTGGGTCCTTCTGACTCGGGCAAGTAGCGGAGCAAGTGAAAAGATTATGTCCATTGTCGATTTCTCGATGAACTCGGAGGACGTTCCGGTAGTCACTTTTCCAGTGTACCAGAAACTTCATGGCCTCCTTCATAATTTTTATCTGGAAGTTTTGGGTCAATGATAACATCGATGTTTTGCGAATTTCCAGATCTTATTAATTCATAGCAATATATTTTTTATTTTTGTATCACTACTAGAGTTCCGAACCGCGAGAGTCAGCATCCGCAACTTGCGAGAAAAATTTGCGAGTCTCGCATATACTCGCATCATTCTCGCATTTTCTCGTTCTCGCACGTTCTCGCATTTACCCGCATATACTCTCGCAAAAATTCATTCTCGCGAGTTCCAGAGAGAATATGCAAGAATCTCGCAATAGTCGCAATGAAATTAGGTAGCACTTAATTGACAATTGAAAGCTGAAATTCACATTTGAGTCCCGGATTTCTGGTTTCGGATTCTGAATTCCGGATTTTTGATTTCGTATTCTGGATTCCGGATTCTGGATTTCTGGTTTCGAATTCTGGCTTCCGGATTCCGGATTCCTGATTCCAGATTCAAGATTCCAGATCTCAGATTAAGAGAAAGCTATTTTATTCCGTATCCCGGATTCCGGAAAGTTAGTTTCATTTCGGCTTACGGATTCCTGGTTTTTTTCCTAGCATAAAAAAAAATTCTAGGCCACCATGCCTTACTCAAATGTCAATTTCAGCTTTTAATTGTCAATTCAGTGCTAATTTCATTTACCATTGCGACTATTGCGAGATTCTCGCATATTCTCGCTGGAACTCGCAAGAATGACGCGAGAATGAATTTTTTCTATAAGATAGAAATGCGAGAGCGAGTATATGCGGGTAAATGCGAGAACGTGCGAGAACGAGAAAGTGCGAGAAATGATGCGAGAAATGCGAGACAGGTCCGCCCCGCAGGCTTGCGAGAAGAAGCGATAAATTGCGAGGATCGTCTCGCGGGTCGGAACTCTAATCACTACCTTTCCTTCAGCTCGTTAGAAAACTGATAAGTTAGACCTACCTCCTCATCTGATGAGCCAGCACCATCACAGTTCCGGATGTGAGTCAATAAATCATCAGCCTCCAATTCTTGCTGATTGTTGCAAGCCATACAAACCAAGTCTGGAAATTAAATTCAAAAAATAAAAAGCTCTTTTGGCAAAATTTACATAACTCTAATAGAAGCCTACCTCCTTCTAGTTGAATTATATCGGCTCCTTCAAAAGATATAAAATTTTTGTTAGATGATAAATTATTGCTGATAAAACAAGGTTTAGTTTATTAGTTGACAAAATTTTGATATGTTCCACGAAAATCGAGATAATTGAGCTCAAAAGGGATGGGCATTTTTTAGAGGAAATACGGGTGTTGAAAGAAAAACTCACTGTATTCTGGTTGCTCGAAGAATTCGAGAGCACGGGTCATTTGTCTATTAGCCATTGTTCTACAAATCTCAATGAACAAATTGCGGGAAGTAGGTGACAGATGGTTGACTTGCACGAAATGCTGCTTCTACTTCTTCAAGGACAAAACGAAAGGGAATCTGTAAAGTAAAATGAGATAGAGTCAGAGATAAAGAGAGAGAGAAAGAGAGAGAGAGAGAGAGAGAGAGAGAGAGAGAGAGAGAGAGAGAGAGAGAGAGAGAAATAACATTGCATGTATTAACCGTATCCAACATTTGATGGCTGGGAGCAGAATGTGATTTGAAAAGTGTTATTTTTTGTTTGCACAAGAAGAAGAAGAAGAAGAAAAAGAAGAAAAAAAGGTAGGTGACGAAGACATTGTACTCTTCATCGTTTTAAAACTCTTTAGAGATGGACAGTTTGAATAGGAACCTTGGATGAACTTTGCTACCTGAATAATCAGTTATTTTCATAAAACATCTGGTTCAAAATCATATTCATTCTTCCAAAAAATGAATCAACAACGATAGGTTCAAAATCCAGTGAAATGGTGAACAGAAAACAATAAAAAACAAGAAAAATCTTTTGGAAAAAAAAACTATTAATAAATGATAATTTCCTTCTTGATGTGACAGCTGGATTTCGGAATTTTGGCTGGACGAGGAGGCTCCTCCTGACTGCTGCACTGACTTGGTCTTTTGTTCGGTTTATGAGAGTCTTCGGAACCTATAAATTGACTGTTTCGATTTCGGGATTTTTTAATCTTTTTGAGATTACCCGAAATTCCACGAATTTGAGGTTTAATTTCCATTTTCTCATGGATTTTGGATTCTGAAATTGGAGAAATTGAAGACGTTGAAAACCGGTAAACTTTACCACGATTCGAAGCTTCAAGACTTTTTTCAGACTTCATTGGAGATCCGGATGGCATTTTTGCAGTATCTGTAAGCTGATAATAGATTCTCTGGTGCGGGAAACTAACCTTTAGGCTTTTTTGGCTTTTTCTCATCTCCCAAAACTTCGACTCGAAACCATTTTCTCAATTTTTTGGCAACCTTTCTCACTTTCGAGTGTTTTGAAATTTTCTCGAGAATCTTGACTTCGTGTCTGGTGAGCTGAAAATATAAATTCAATTTTAATACGAAGCTCTTCAAATCCTTACCTCGTCATCCAAAACGTACGGATTTCGATCTAGCTTCTTCTTCAACTCGTCCACCATTGTAATCAATTGAGGAATCTTCTGGAATATTATTTTGTGAATACCGTAAAACCTGCAACTTTGAGCCAATTAATCTTAGCTCCTGTCAAAGATATAAAAAAGTAGCTAACTGATAAAATTTATATCATAAAATTAAAAATATCTTATCAGTTGACACATTTTTGATATCTTTCACAGAAGTCGAGATAAATTAGGTCTTAGAGGTTCTAACCTTCTCCTCTGACTCTCTGACTAACTCTCCAGACACTTTCAGAAGTAGAGAAAATCGATTGCACACTGTCTCCAAAATTCTACACTGCCACTCCAGATTTCGAAGTTCCGCTTCCTTCTCTTTCAGCTCTTTTCCTTTTCTCTCACGAACAACTTTTCGTTTCTTATTCAACTGTTTTCTTTCCTCCAACTCTTCCTCCATCTCCGCTTGACTTTCTATTGCAGTTTGTCCCTCCGAGTACAATGTATGCAACATCGGTATTGCTGTCCTATTGAATGATAATCTACAAATCCTCTCGTAGATTCTTCTGCTATTCTCCATAGCCGCACGGGCTTGATCGGTCTTTTCAAGTGTAATTCTATCGTCAAGATTTGTGTCCAACTGTTTCATTTCGACTTTCATCTTGGCGAAATCTGCTCTAGCCGTTGAAAGATTCTGGAGACTTTTCTCGTATTTATCCTTCACATTTGAATTCCTCTTGGCATTTGAAAAGTGATAATAAGAAGTTGGTAATGGCTCAAGATGCGTACCATTCAATCCACTTTGGGATGGTCGTCCGATTCCAGCCATGACGATACCTGGGGGACGTTCAGATGCGGTGATGCCTAAAAATGGAAATTTTTGCAAGAATTTCTAAAAGAATTTTCGAAAGAAATTTCTTTTAAAAAAACGGACCAAGATGTTGGCGAAACATAATGTTTTCATGAGACGAGTTCAAATTGATCGATTCTGTAAATTTTTAAATTTTTGATCTCTGGGCCAAAAAAATCTGTTTTGATCTACGAATCGCCACATAACGGGTCTGAAATTCTGTTTTTAAAATTTGAAACGAGAAAAAAAAGTTTAATGACTTGAAAGGTAGTTAGCGTCGTACAATGACGACCTAAAAGAGAACGGTATAAAAATAATACTAAAAGTTTTTTAAAGCAAACTGAGAAGTTTTTGAGGTTAATTTAAAAAAATTGAGAGTTGTAAAACTAGGAAAAAAGCTACAGTTTTTAAATAGACAAGCAATTATTCAGATTTTTTTGATTTTTGTTTTGATGTAGATGACATCATCGCCGTTATCATCGGTCTGCTGTCTAGTTGAACTTCTGGAACGGGATCGACGATTTTTGTTATGGTCCTCGTCTCGCTTCCTCCGTGGGACTCTCCAACTACCGAAATGGTTTCGAAGTGTACGAACCTCATCCTTTCTTGGTTTTTTATTTAATTGAGGATGATTATCGAAACCTGGAAAAAACAGGTTCATTGATTTTAGATTCCTTAAACATTCTAATAGAAGTCCACCCTATACTTGCACTTTGAGCTCCATTATCTCGGTTCCTATGAGAGATATCAAACTGGTGTCAACTGATAAAATGTTGGTGATATTATGATAAGTAATTTTTCAATTGACAAATTTGGGATATATTTTATAGGAAGCGAGATAATTGAGCTCAAAGTTCAAGTATTCAAAATTTTACCTGAATGAATAGGTGGAACGTAAAGTCGGTTCTTGTTTCTAGCATCTTGTTTCCTATCAAAGCTAGACTCTGTAACTCTAGAAAAATGATTTTTCTCTTGAAAATGTTCACCATCGTCAAACGCTCGAACACTTCCTCTTCCACGAGACTTTATCGGAGTCCTAGCTCGTTTTCTGTCCAATTTGTTGGCTTTTTCATGGCATTCTGGTGACTCGCTTCTCAGTTTAGGGACGTCAAATGAAGATGGCTTTGATTCGCCTCCGTTGAGACCTTCAAACCACGAATTTTGAATTTCTAAAAAATTGAAAATATGCTACCCCTTGCCATCATTTTTTCCGTTTTCCCAATCGGTGGCAGCGAAATTTCTTCTAAATTTTTTCCCTGGTTTGATACTTCTTCTGAAAATTGTGCTCCAGAATTGGATGTACATTATTGAAGCCAAACCTTTCATCTTCTTCTTGTCATTCGGAATTTCTTTCAGTATTTCAACTCGCCACCATTTCTTCAGTTTTTTAATAACTCGCCCCATTTTTTTGCTTTTATAAACTATTTCCAGAATAGCGAGTTCCGGAGGAGTGAGCTGAAAATAAAGTGGTAATTTCAAATCGTTCAGTTTCACCAACCTCTTCATCCAAGATGTATGGGTTGCTATCCAGCTTCATCTTCAGCTCATCAACCATATAAACCAAACCAGGAATCTTCTGAAAATGAAACGCTGAACTAGTTCTCTAACTTCTCAAGAATTCTTACTATATCCTCTGGTTCTTGCACCAATGCTCCAGAGACCTTCAGCAGAACTGAAGATCTATTGAACACAGTATCCATAACTTTACACTGCCACTCCAAGTCTCGAACTTCATCCTCTTTTGCCTGTATCTCATTATTTTTTAAATTACGAGCAGCTAGATTTTCAGCTCTTAATCTCTCCATTTCCGCTAAATTTTGTTCCACATTAATCTGTTGAGATAAGGCATTTTGAGCTTCCGTGTATAGATCTCGCAGCTCTACGGCTGTTGTTTGACTTGGAGAAACTTCACGGATCTTCTTATGGAGTTTTTTGGTTTTCTCACTGGTCACAATTTGGAGAGTTTTGGTTAAGAACATCTTGTCATCCAACTTCTTGTCTATCTGCTCTAATTCCGTTTTCAAAGTGGCGAGGTCGGTTCTAGCAGTGGCAAGAATTTGAACGCAGTCTTCATATTGATCATTGATGCTCAAAATCTCTATGGGTCCTTTGGCGCCTGAAATTTTATGTATTTCAGGTTCCACACGTTGAGTCATAACAATCGATGCGTTTTGCTGGCTTTCGGGATCGTTAGGCGGCGAATTGAGCTCCTCCTGTTCTGGACATCCTGTAGATTTGCTTGTGTGACTTATGAAAATTTTTGAAGTTACCAGAACTAGAAGTTTGTTGCACAACAGCAATTTTCGATGGTTGAATCAGTCCAACGGGTGGTATGGGAGGTCTCACTGGGGGTCCAGCGCATAGCTCAGTGCTTGATCCAAAATTTGCCTCTTCGGAAGGCTCAGAGGGAGCTGGTCCTGTAAATAATGGCTTCATATGTCCCAGCCGAGATTCTTAACTGACCGAACTGGCGGTTGTCTGCAGATTTCATTATACCAGGAGGAGGACCATCTGGGTTGAATCCTGGAATATTTTGAAGTTTCGACAATGAATGCTCACCATGTGAATAGTTGCCGACATTACCGAGTTGAGGTTCCGCCAAACCAAAGCCATTGTAGACATGACGAGTGTAGCTTGTAAAAACTTCAATGTACTCAAGCGGATTTTCAATTTCCTGTTAGACTTACTATCCATCGATCTAGTGACACGGTGGCTGGGAGAAGTGAATGAATTGGCAGGGAATTGAGGTTCTGAAATTTGTATTTGTCATTTTTCGGGCTCAAAAAGCATACTGAATCTATGCTGGTTGAGGTTCGTCGAATAGTGGTCTGGAGGTGGAATGGAGGGGTTGAAGAATGGAACGATGACTGAAAAATGCATTGGAATTTGAAGAAATTATCTTTTTAGTGTCTTTTATGCTAGGTATTTTCCATGCTACAATCTATCATTTGATCTTTATTTCACACTAAATTTTAATTTGGGAGTCCTTGCTTAATTATGTGATCTAGCAGGTCCCGAACAAGCCAAATTTGGCCCAAACACTTTTTTTTATAGGCTCATGGCTGTCAAACCTACGTTGGCTATTTCTGTTTCCATTTGGGTGAGGTATGACTCCCCATTTGTGTAGCATTTCGGGAGTCTGGCAGCCACAAGAATGAGATTTTATCTGGGCAGTGCAAGATTACGAAATCAGCAGTGCATTTATCATAACCAGAAGAAGGAAATATGACAAGGATTTGGGAAAAAAATCACGAGAAGTATAATTCATAGAAACCGGTCAAAAGTACCGTAGCTCAATTGACTCGCTTCCTGTCAAAGATAAAACAATTATGTCAACTGATGAAATCTTGGTGATCTCATGATAAACAATTTATTAGTTAGCAAAGTTTTGATATCTTTCACAGCAATCCAGATAGCTTGAAAGTTTGAATAACAACAAAAACGAGTATATCGTTTAGACATCAAATGCTAGACATTTTTAACTGAAAAGAAAGGTGATTTCAATACAATGTTGGTCTTTAGAGCATCAAGGGGCAGACATAAATCATGGAAAATAAATGTCTACTCATCTGATCAAAGTTAGAAAAAAAAATAATATCATGAAAGCTAGTCTAGGATCCCACAGACAAACAAACACACAGACGGACAACACCTTATACTCGTAAATCTGGTATGATGCTAGCTTTAGATATTTTTTTAACTCAAAATGGCTGAAGAGAGTACACATCTAATCGAGCTTTTCGAAATTACAAACTTTTTGATGACTTGGCTCAGAGATCAATATTCAAACATTCAAAGTTCTCTAGCTATTTGCTGACAAGTCGACAAAACTACATTTTGGCAAAGACAACAACAAAATACTCCGAGAAAGATCCGAAAAGAGATAAAAGATAAAATTTGACAGACAGAAACAGGTGACTCATGTACGTTCGAACCCGCGAAAGAACATTTGAATTTCAAATAAAGTGCGCCCTATCGAACGCCATTCTTGCATGCACGTTGAAAACACTTCTGCTGTCCTCGTGAGCGGAAGGAGAGTTTAGAGAAAAAAGGACAGACGGGAGAAGGCAAAAGCAAAGCAAGATGCTATGCAAAGCAAAGCACCTTGATAGATGGATGGGTAGCATTGACTCGACGACTGCGAACGATGCGTCCATATATAGGGTTGGGCTCAGAAATGAAAAATGGGTTTTAAAAAACATGCCCGCAAAAGATACCGAATGCCGGAAATATGGAGAAGAAAAGGTTTGTGTATTAACCAACGAATATTTTGGTGCTTTGGACTTGACTAAAATAACACCAAGAAATATAATAGATTTCAAATAAAGGTAATTTCAGGGTATTCTAAAAATGGATCCGAAGTTAAAAATTGAAGCTTTTTGAACCAAGAATTCTCATTGAATGGTTCCGGAGCAGCCTGTTCCCCAAACTTTACACTGTATCCCCTCTGTTGAACAGCAAAACTTTGGATTTCAAATAGACAAAATTTCCTACAAATTTGTCTAAAAATCACTTTTCTAGCATTTCTAGGAACCGAGATAGAGCCGCTTCAAGTTTAGGAGGCTAGCCAAATTCCTATCGCGCCCTATCCTTACCAAAAATTTTTCGGAGACAACCTTAGACCATTTATAAGAAGAGAAAAGATTGGAGCCGGTTAGAAACTACCTAGTGGCTCAGAAAAATCTACTTATATTCGAATCAGATGACATTTCAAGGCAACCCATGAGGGTAATAAGACCTTTATTACGTGCAAAAACCTTTTTTGAAAACATAATTATTGTTTTTGAGCAAGGCTGGGTTGATTTCTTGAAAGAGGTAAAGCAACCTTTTGTTTAAATTTTTAATCTAGAGACTAGTCTACGGAAAGAGTGATAAATTTTGTTTTGATGACAGTAGCACTCTGCATCACTCCTTTTAATTAGTTTGATTTCTAGAATTGGCTCTCCAGGGATCTTTATTGAGATTATATAGTTTTCAACGAAACAAAAAATCAATTAGTGAGCAAGTTCATCAATCCATCATCAGCGAGATCCATGAATGCTGGAGACGGGATTCGAGTCTTTCGCCACATTCTCTGGCGCCAAGCAGGTCCGGAATTAGCTGAAAATAAGAATTTTTGAAATATTAGTGAAATACTTCAGAAAACGAACCCATCATTCTATATTGTGCATCGACCAAAACCAAAACAAGCAGAAAAACGGCAAAGAGTCTAATAGTGGATTGCATTTTCGGAGAATTGAGATCTGGAAGAACAAAAATGTATATTTAGAGTTGTGAAATGAAATATGAGGAAGTGGGCGAGGTTTAAAAAAGGAGTTCAACCATAATTCGTTTAGGATATAAACCAATAATCCGAGGGAAGTACGTAACTTCCTAGTCAAAACTATTTTAATACTCCAAGGCTTAGGAGATCGAAAATTTCAAACATACTCCGCCCTGAGCAGGTGATCTGCCAAAACTGTAATTCAGATTGAATCCTAATTAGAAACGAATTCCAAAAATGTTCACCTGTCTCAATTGATAGTTCACCGATCTTGGAATGATATCAATCTGGAGAATTCTAATTGGAGTGACAATTTCACCTGCTTCCTTCCGAAATCAAAGAATCTATGAGAGGCGGAGAGGAACCTTTGCCGATTAGCTACAAACTGATGTCAACTGGAAAAGAAGAATACATTCTATTCTATTTTCTCGGTCACACACATCGAGAAGGCACTCTAATGGAATATGAATAATAGGAAGGAAAGGGGAGGAGGAACCGGTTAATAAAGTAGGTATAAAACCGAAAAATGAGAAAATTGGGTTTTGTACTTATTATGAAAGTTTCGGTATTTTTCTTACTAACTTCTTTTCTATGGATTACGGTGGAATGCCGAGGTAGATATGAGTATATTGAAGAGGCGGATTTACCAGCGTTTTATTCGTAAGTTTACAAAATTTTTTGGGAGTTTCAGAAAGGCACCGTAGTCAGAAATGGTCTAACATGTACCTGGTGGATTTCCTAGGTCATTTTGACAAGGATACCTAATTTTTGCAATTTAACTTTTTCTAGCCTACCATGTTAAACGGCCAAGAAAACAGACGAGGTCAGTATCAGGTCATTTCTAGGCCTTAAAAGTTGGTGACCTAGAAAATTCAATTTGAAAGTGTAGGTGTTTTGAAGTTAGACGTTAGAATGATCTGGAAAACACATCTGGGGCATGTTAGGCTATTCCTAGGCCATTTTACCATGTGGCCTAGAAAACTTAACTTGCAAAAGTTAGGCCACAACTTCGAAATGACCTAGAAAACATACGAGGGGAACATTAGACAATCTCTAGGTCTCTTTAACGTGGTGGCTTAGAAAACGCAATCAGTAAAAGTTAGGCCACCATATTGCAAGTTGAGTTTTATAGGCCACCGATCTTTATGGTCTAGAAATGAATTGATTTTCGAAATTAGCCGTTTTCTGAAGATTCCATACTACAAATTGTTTATATCTAGATAAGAAAATGTGAGAACAACATTGGATTCTTCTTCGTATCCTTTGGAGATACAAGGAGCTGTAGTTAAACCCTGTTTTGAATTTTTTGGATTCATGAAAACAAAAAGTCCTAAAATAAGGGATCTCAAAAAGTACTATTCGGGACCCCTATTTTTGAACTTTGAGCCAATTTATCTCGGTTCCTGCAAAAGATATAAAAAAGTTGTCAACTGATAAATTGCTTATCATAATATCACAATTTTTATTAGTTGACACTTGTTTGATATCTTGCATGGGAGCCGAGAAAAGTTAGCTCCTACTGGACAACATGGGGGCCCTTCTATTACAGGTTTAAGATATTCAGATCGGTGTTAAAAACTCGGGTTAGAACTAATAAAATTTTTTCCTCAGAATGAGAAGCGCACAAATGGCTCAAAAAGCGCAGTTGGCACCTCAATTAGCGGCTGCTGCACCAGTTCCTATGGACCCTTATCAGCAATATCTTCAATATCAAATGTACCAACAAATGGAGATGCCGCCTCAAGCAGCAGCACCCTACTCTCCATTTGGCGTATATGGTCCAATATATAGAGGTGGGAAAAACTTTTTTCCGAAAAAAGTGGAGCCTTTAAGAATGGGGTGGTTCAAAGATCCTCCTCCAGAATCCTAAATTATTCAAGAAGAAGTTATTCATTAGGAATTTGAATGGACCTTATTGGAATCTGGTTATTTCTTATTCCTTTCATTTGGATTGTTTTTACACCAAAAATTTTTGTGTTAAAAGACAAAAAAAACAAAATCCCTATTTCCGGTAATAAGATATTTTAATATTTTTTCCTTCGAATTGAAATTAAACTTCAATTTTAAATAAAAACAAGTCAAAGGGAAAAGACTAGGATATCCTTTCAGATAGATCCTTATCCCTGATGAATGAAAAAAGTGAATTTCAAACTTTGAAACCTCTCTCTTTTTCAACACGTGACCAAAAGCCACCTACTTTCTGGAAGTGACGAATTAGGGTGACATTTGCAATTGGCTATGAAAAAAGGCAGAAGTTGCAGAACAATTTTGGTGATTTGTGATTTCAGGAAGTCATAAAATGCATAATACTTGAACCGATTTCTCATAGGTTTTCGATCAGTTAGAACTATTGAGAAGTCTCGTCCAAATTTATAGTAGTACTACAATAGAAGGGCCCCCAAATCATCAATTTTGAGCTCATATATCTCACTTCCTGTGATAGATATCAAAACGTTGTTAACTGATAAAATATTTTAATGTTATGATAAAGATTTTATCAGTTTGACACTTTTTCATATCTTTCACAGAAACCGAGATAAACTGAAGATATCAAAAATAAGTCAACGGATAAATTGTTTGTCAGAATATCGCAAACATTTTACCTGTCGACAACTTTTCAAAACCTTAAACAGGGACCAAGATAAATTGGCTCATAGTTGGCTCATAATTATTCGAATATTTCTGTCCTACAAATCGTCATAATATACACTTAAAGATAAAAAATAAAAATGAAAATTTCATAATTCCAGGTCAAGGTCCTGTCGCAGCCCCACCTTTCCAAGCGGTCCGTGCTGCACCGATACAGTACCACCCAATGGCCTACTATCATCACCCTCAATCCGTTCAACCCCCAATTCGTAAAAAATCGGCAATGACCTAAATATTTGTATAGTCTCTAAAACTGACAGTAAATTTTGATAACCTATTTTGTAAATAAAGAAACATTTAATCTGAAACACAAAAAAATCAAATTGAATTTCATTTGTAAAGGACACACATACACATAAGGAGGATGTACATAAAAATGAGAAAATGTGAGTAATTGACAGCGGGGACCGGGATGAAAGAAAAGAGAGAGAGGGGCTGTCTGGAATCAACAATCCATTCGGTTGTGGTAAATGATGTCATCATTAAAGGAGCCACCGTCGGTAAGCCGCTTTGTGGCAAGTGCGCAAAGCTCGCGGGAACTGAAACAAGGATAGAGACAATTGGATAGGAAGTGTGAAGTCATTTGAGAAATGAGGTCATTTAAAGAATGAGACGCTTTTAGTTCCCTCATTCATTTAGTCTGTGGGGGATACGCTTCAATTCACATTCTAAATAGTCGGGAGAGATAAAAAAGATAATGAAATAGACACGAACGCCGGAAGGGGGCAAGATTGTTCTTAATTTCAGAGATGAAAAGCTTAAAGATTTTGTGAAGCTTTTGGCTCTAGATTTTTATAGACTTTGCCGCTTGATCAGATACAAAAAACTCGTGTTTTCAGCTGGTTTTGAGAGTTTTAAAACATTTTCAAGAGCCTGGAGCTCGACTGTCAAGTTTCCGATCACTTGGAAAATTCTGGAGGATGTAAAACACTTGGAAAATTCTGGAGGATGTAAAATGTAAACTTACAGAATTTTTTGAAAATTCCTAGCTTTTCAGCAGTTTGCCGACACCATTTTTCGGCCAATTTACTAACGGAAAAGATGAAAAAACAGGAGCTTTTCGAAAATCGGCAAATATCTGAAAAGCTAGGAATTTTCGAAAAACTCTCTGAATGCAATGTTCTCAATCTTGGTCTGCTGTATAAAATCTAGAAAATTGTGTTAAAACAGTTGAAAAACGCTCAAAATATTGCAAAAAACGGCTAAAATCTTGAAATTAGAGCCTTAACTCTGCCTAAAATCGCCTGAACTAGTTTAAGTTGACTTTAAAGGCCCAAGACCGAAATTAGATTTAAAATGAGCTAAATTGGCTGTGAAAAGGTTCGAAATACTTTAAATTTGATCCAGAACCAATTTAGAATGGTCTGAAATAGTTCAAATTTGATCATAATATGCCAGGTGTTTTCCAAAAACTCTATGAATACAAGGTTTCAATCTAGGTCTGCTTAAAGGTTGGGGTACAGGAGATTTTTCGTAGTTTTTTTGTAGCTAGAGTATGCATTCTACCGTCACGGTGTACAACGCTTAATGTCACTCTGCGTACAGCTGTCGTCCTCGCCTTTATGTATGCAATCGGGAGTGCGCTTTCTCTTTGCCCGCGTGGCTCAGTCGGTAGCGGCGCCGCACCCTCAATCATCGCCCTCACAAGTTCAACTCCTCGAGGGGCATCTTTGAGCGGAATTTCGAGAACATTTTTTTTCATGTCCCCCCACCTTTAAAAACTCCAAAATTTTCAAAGTGATCGTAAATTTTACAGCAGAGCTCCAGACTCTAGACAATGGTCAAAATGGCCAAAAATCAACTTTTTTGTATCTTACTGACTGGTACTGTATATCTAGGGATGCGCCGATCCTCAGAAAACTCACATATCAAAAGCCACCGCCTGGCACTTCTTCTGTTTCACCAGACACTTTGAACACAACCGACACATATCTGTACACTGTTCCAACGAGTACGCCTTCACAACTCTCAACGCCTCCATTTTTCCCATCGGTCTCACTTCCCTGTAAAAAAAAACAACTACAATCATCACCACTTTCTACCTAAAACCCACTTGAAACACGATTTCACTCGTGTATCTCTCAGCCGTCTACCATATTCTGTTTTCGGTGTGTTCACCACATTATAGTTGTCTATCACTTTTGGAGCTATCGGTTTTGGAGTGGTTGTAGTGGTTGTTGTTGTGGTTGTTGTGGTCGTTGCCTTGGTGGTCAAAAGGTCTTCCCGATTCTGATTGCTCACTGAATCCGATGGACCATCGTAACCGGATAATTGGATATCTGTGTGGGTGGGAGAGGGCGAGAGAATTGAAGATAGAGTTGTCTTCTCGGCTTTTATGGGTTCCAATTCCTCATCAGTTTTTGAAGCGGACTCGTTTTCCGAAAATTTAGAGGACCCTTTGAAAACCTCTGAAGTTTTCACAACCACCGATTTGTCGGATTTGTTTTCCAAGCATCCATTCTCCAAGTAAAGCGATTTATCGTCGTCAATGAATAAGTCAGGAATATCAGCCTTAGATTGAGACGCCAGAATACATTCCTTGTCTTTTTCATAGTACATTGCACTTTTACAGGTCACATCGTATTTAGTTTGAGCATTCGTGCATTGCGCTTGACAGTCAGCAACCGTTGCCACGTCACGAACCAATTGATCCACAATTCCAATCAACACCTTTCCAGGGGTAGATGTGTAACACCCTGATTCGGTGGCCACAGTATCCCTTCTAATTGCAACACTTGGCTTATCAAAGCAGTTCCGATGGTAGAAATCTGACATGGGATTCTTCACTATTTTTACATCTTGCTTAGATTTTCCGTTCAGCTGACAATTAGAAGTTTTCTTGGTATACGTGATTGACCTGAAAAAATGATCTGGTTTTTGAAGAATTTGTCATTCTAAATCTGAACTGGAAATTCTGAAAAATGCTTCCAGGAATCCAGAAATTCCCGAACTCACTTGCAAGTCTCTCTTGGCATTTCCAGACAAGCGCTGAAACACTTGTCAATGCTCAAATTCCTTAGGGAAAGCAGTGGTCGAGCGAATAGAGATCTGTTCGGAGTTTTATCAAAACACATTCTCATTGATGACGTGGCATTTGGAAGGAGAATAAGAAGTGGAAGAAGGAAACGCATATTCTGAAGAAGTGAGGAAGAAGTGAATGAAAAAGGATTTTCAGGAAAAAGAAGATTCACCTACTAAACAAATAAAGGGGAAAACAAGAAACTTTCGAATGTGACCGTGAAGAGATCGGTTCACTGGAACTTTTGGATTCTGGAGGAAAAAAATGCAAAGGGCTTTCCTTATTTTGTGATGTTTTTACTCGTCTACCAATTTTAGTACCAGACCCCAAACCCCGGACTTTTGATACTTTGGAAACTAATTTTGCATTTCTAAATTAGTTTTTTGACACCCAACTTCAAATTTTTGCTATTTTTCGAACATTGACCACAACTCAGAAACAAAAAGTGTATCAAAAAGAGTGAGAGCACAAAATGGGTTATGAGAAAAGTTGATTATAAATGACGGAGGTTTTCGAATATTTCGTTTTAGAACAAACTGAATTTAAAACGTATTTTTGGGTGTCATAGATTTGAGTGTTATGCTGAATCATTTTCTCTCCGTGTAGCCTGGTTTTTGGGATTTTCAAAAAGTTTCTTTAAAGTATAAATTCGAAGAAATTCCGTATTTGGTCTATTAGAAGCCCTTCCTAAATGAGCACTTTGAGTTCAATTATCTCGGTTCCTAGAAGAGATATCAAAAATTTGTCAACTAATAAAATGTTTATCATAATATCACCAATATTTTATCAGTCAACAAATTTCTGATATCTCTCATCACAACCGAGATAATCGAGCTCAATATGCACGCATAGAGCGATCACGGTAGGCCGGTCTATAGCTTGAAACAAAACTAAAATTATCTAACTTTACAAAGATTTTTATGAACAAAAACCAAAATTTTAAAGACCAAAATATAAGAAACTACCATACCGAAGGTCACTCTTTAATTTAAACTCACTCAGCCCAAAAGAAACACCAAATAAAGAAAAGATGTGTGGTCATTTCATTCATTTCCTTCCCTATTTTATACCGCTTTTGGCATTGACTAATTTCCGAGAAAATAGTGTGTTTCCCCGAAGAAAGAGACAAGTGGTTTGTTTCGAGAGCCTTTTCTTATTCTGTTTGAGGTTATAGACAGTTTTTTAACAAGTAACAACCCTTCTTTGGCATTTTCCGCAGGAGGATATTGACCTTGGTTGAGAATGGAGTAGTGACGAATCCCCCCAGAAACTTTCCCCTTTTCTCGAAATTTCTGTGGTTTGTTCATTTTTTCAAGGTGAATAATTATGAATAGGGAACTTAGGTCACAGATTCTGAAACGACAAATTTTGGAGTTAAAAAAAAGGGGGGCATCCTCCCTTCTTTCGGCTTGGGCCCTCTTACCATAAAGAGCCAAAAATATATGTTTCTTGCTGTGTAGATCATTTTTGAAGTTCATTCAGGAACACGGAAAACGGTTCCGGTACAATTTGTAGCCTTCAGAATAACAAAATCATGGTCTACTACAAAAAAAAGCAGATTCGGTGGTTTTTAGTGAATTAGGGAATTACCTAAAGACGTGACTTGTGAAAGGAAAGTCGCTGAAGCAAATCGTTTTGTGATTTCTTGTTAGATGTGTCTTGGCTCTTTTTTGGTATCACACGATTTTGGATCTTTTCTCAGATCTCAATGAACAAGATATTCGAGTATGGCGGTGTGGAGAATATTCCTTTGTATAATTGCAGGTACGTTTAAATACCGTACTTCTTCTAATAGAGTGCCACCAAACTTTCAACTTTGAGTCTAGATAGCTCGGTTCCTGTATGAGATATCAGAACGGGAACAATTGAAAAATGTTTATCATAATATCAAAAACATTTGTCAGTTGACCAGTTTTTGATATCTCTTACAGGAAACCAGATGAATAAACTCAAAGTTGGCGGGTTGAATAAAACTATATTAGAGTGTTCACGGTATTGGTTCCATGCATACCGTAAAATCTGTAATAGAAGGGCACTGTCAACTTTGAACTAGTGTTTCTTGCCTCCTATGCAAGATATCAGAAATGTGTCAATTGATAAAATGTTTGTGATAAAACACTTTATCAGTTGATAACTTCTGTTTATCTTTGACAGGCACCGATATAGGATCCTTTCTATTAGGGGTTTAAAAGACACTCTGTGAGGTTTTTTCCCAATTTTCTAGTGCAATGTCTCCTGATGCATGGACCTCCCAATTTGGAATGCAACGTCCTATCCTTGGCATCATAAGCATATCTTACGGATCAATAATGGAAGTCCTATTCATCCCTTCCCTTCTCGCAATGCTCGACAAAGATCTCTGGTGTCTTTCCTGCTACAAAATCATGTTTTTCGTTGGCATTGTAGACATGCTGGCTCTCGCAATGAACTCCATTTCCACCGGTGTTCTAGCCTTTGAGGGAGCAGTTTTCTGTACGCATTCAGTGTTTATCTATCTTGCCGGACTGTGTGGATTAGGGTTATGGTGTTGCTCATGTCTCATGAATATCATGTTACTGGTGAACCGGACGTTGAACGTGGCGAATTCCAGTTTTTCTGAACGCCTTTTTGAAGGATATCGAACCTATTTGATGCTGCTAGTCCCTATAGTTTATGGTTTCTATTTCATATTTTTCACACCAACATGTGTATTTTCTTCAAGGTATTATGCTTGGTTCTACGACCCGTTTATTTTTCCTAACCGAACATCAGAGGTATTCATCTTTTCTAATCTTGTTTGAATTAAAGCTTCCACTTCGGTCGGCTGGATTGGCGGCCGGCCGGTCAGCAAATTTTTCCGACCAAATGAAAACCTTATATTGGATTGCTAAAATAACATTTTCAGTACACAAATGTCGCTCATGGAGTAAACAATCTTATGATAATGTGTGGCACATTTGTCTTCTACGCCTATATCTGTTACGTTCTTTGCAAGGCTAACAGAACAGGAAAATCATCAAGGATTCATATTCAATCCTATCAGATTTTGTATCAATCTGTCGCTATTTGTTTCATCAATCAAGTATCATCCAGTGTTTATGTAGTTATGAACTTCATAACCGTTCCAGAATGGCTCATTGTAGTTGCTCAGCTGATGTGGCAACTTGATCATGGTACCCAAATATTTCAAAATATCTTAAGAGGCATTATATTTCAGGATGCCCGGTGATCATCTACATGACAATGAACCCAACTATTCGATCAGGATGTTGGCGTAAAATCACATTCAGAAAGGTGATCTTCGTTAAACCTGTAATAGAAGGCCCCCCACATGGGAAAGTTGGAGCTAACTTTTCTTGGCTCCTATGGAAGATATAAAAAATGTCAGTTGATCACTATTTCAATATCCTTGACAAGAACCGAGAAAAAATGGGTCAAAGTTGAAATTTTAGGGGAGGGGGGACCTTCTATTAAAGGTTTTACGACAGATTCACAATAATTACAACTCCATAATTTCATTTAGAGGCGAATCTCGTCTGTGCAGACAACAACAATACGACCCTTCCAGTACCGTGACGCTTGCTGAACACGAATCGGACTTTGACCTAATTGTTACTGCTAGAATGGATTTCTTAAAATTTGAATATTTTGAAAATAACAAAGTCATATGATTTCCAAGAAACTGCTTTTAGTGTTGATGTTCAAGATCAAAAAACAAAAAACGAGCAAAACACAAAAAATTTTATTTCACAGTTAGAACATCATACACCAGTTTTGTTGTGGTACCGAATTTGTGAGCTATGAATCGGATGTGGCAGATTGATGACCTTCTTTCTCCATTCTTTTAATTGTTGCTGGTTACTGTTCTTCAACTCAATCGCCGTCTCATTTATATTTTTCTAAAAAACAAATTTTAATTTTTATGTATTTTTTTTTGTCGATTACAAGCAATCTCCTCTTCAAATCCTCCTTTGAAAAGTTGAAGGCGTTCACGACGGTGTCCACTTTGACCATCTGAAGAAAATCTCGTAGAATTCAAAACTTATTCAGAAACTCACAGCATGCGGATCCATGAAATGTATATCCGTCAAGTTCAGACGTCTCATCTGCTTGTCCATCATCATAAGTCTACCGGAAAAATCATTATCTTGAGCATGGAATGGCTCTAAAATAACCACAAAAAGAACCAGCAAGATATTCTTCATTTTTGGAAAATATTGAAAATTCGTTGGAATGTTTATTCTAATTTCGAAAAACATAACAAGAACACGCTAGAAAAATCTATAATCTATGACCCCAATTTTGAAGACGTCGTCGGTGCTGGCTGCAAAGACGGCGCAAATCCCATTCGAAGATTTCCCAAGTCATAGATATTACAGTACTGCCGGATGAAAGGGTCGCCAAGGATCCAAGTGGGTCCGAATCCACCGAAATCCATTGGGAAAAGTGTCAGAACACATGTGCCATCTCCAACGTCTGCGATATAGTTGTAGTGTTGAATTTGATAGTCGTGGCCTCCGATGGTGACTCCGAGGGGTCCAGGAGTGGCATCGCAGTCGATGATGTAAGCTTCTCCAAGAATGTCATACTGGAAAATATTAATTTTGATTATTTCACAGTAAAAGAACTTACTGTGGCTCCTGCCTGCTTCGCCATTTCATCAATAACAACACTAGGTCCTCCCAAAAACGAAGTTCCGGTATCCGAAATCACATCAACCACCTTTGCATTCAAATACTTCCCTAACCTGAATCTATTCGCTTTGAACTGAAAATACGTGGCCGATGACAATGGCTGATAGCCTATCACTGGACCACAATTCGTTGTATCCACTGCTCCATAAGTGAATACTCCACCTCCAACATTTGTCAAAGTACCACGATGTTCTAGGAAAACACTGAAGAGGGGCTGATCCAGAACTCCTTGTTTGATTGCGTTGATCAGTGGAGGTACCACTCCATCGACTGCCAGCGTGGTGAATGCTAATCCGAATATTCCATCAGTGGCGTCGCTTTTGAAATCTGGGGATATCTGGTTGGCAATCCCAAATGTAGTCTTTGGAATGCTCAGTTGGCTCTCTCCAGTAGCACCGATCTAAAGTATCTGATTTAAACTAACTATTATTTCTAAATAAATTACTTTGACAGTATCTTGCCCAAGGATCCCTGCTGCTGCCCCCGAACCATACTGAATGGTCCAAGACTGACCATTTTTATCAAATGTAGATGATTTCGAAGAATCGAATTTGTGCTTTGAGTCGCAGTTGGCTCTGAAATAGAGTTCCATGAGATGAAAAATTCAAGATTAACTCACTTGCAAGAGGGTCCTGGAATCCACAGATTTGCTGATCCAGTGTCCAAGACTACAATAAAACTTTGATCTGGTGTACCAATGGTGATATTTCCAAGGTATTCGAAATCGGCAAAGTCGTTGACCTGAATAAAAAATTTTTGACATTTTCAAACAGATTAGATCCGGTGTCTTTTCAAAAAAAATTTCTTTGAAAAATGCCTTTTTAGAGGAATGAACCTGACATTTTCCCGTTTTTTGGACATTTTGAAGTGGTGGCCTAACTTTTGCAAATTGTGTTTTCTAGGCCACCATGGTGAAATGACACAGAAATGGCCGAACATTAGCCTTGTCATTTTTAAGTCTAACTTTGAAACACCTAACTTTTGCAAGTTGGGTTTTCTAGGCCAACACAAAATGGCATAGAAAATACACCAAGGGCATGCCAGGCTATTTTTAGGCCCCATTTGTATCATGGTGGCCTAGAAAACTCAGCTCTCAAAAGTTAGGCCATCACGTAAAAATGTATTCGTTACGAAAAATTGTACGAAAAACTCTCGCAACTCACATTTTGCGGCAAACTCTGGAATTGCCAAGGGCTCATCTTTCTCTGTCTATCCAGATACTTCTTGTAGGTCGCCCACTCTCCTGTTCTTAGCATCTCCATTCGTTTTGATGGTCTCCATATTATCCGACTCTCGTGCACTATGGCGGAGGATAGCGCAAAAAGTGAACATAAAATTAGTAGCCTCATAGCTTACGAAATACAGAGAAAAAGTAGTTTCCCTCCCCTCGATTCTTCATTATATTCCTTTATTTGATTTTTACATCATCAAACGTTTCGGTGAGCACATGAGCTCTCTCGGCATTGATAAGAACTGTTACCTCTGATAAAACATCTAGTGAAAGAGAAAAAATATATAGGTGTTTCAGTGTTTTATTAATGACATATAAGTACATATTATAAATAATCAATCATATTTACTTTTGGAGCGATGGAGCGAATCCCATTCTCTTGTTTCCGATATCATAGATGTTGCAGAATTGGCGGATGAATGGATCTCCAAGAATCCAGGATGGTCCGAAGCCTCCGAAATCGAATGGGAAGGCGGCGAAGAGGCATTGTCCGTTTCCAGCGTCAACGATGTAGTTGACTGGTTGGATGGAGTAGGTGTTGGATCCGATGGTGATGTCGAGGGTTCCTGGTTGAGCGGCGCAGTCAATGAAGTAAACCTCATTGAAGTCATCATAAGTGGCTCCGGCAGCCTTAGCAAGTCCATCAACAACAGTTTGTGGTCCTCCGAGGAAGGAGGTTCCAGTGTCGGAGATAACATCAACAGTCTTGGTGTTAGAATAAGATCCGAGCTTGAATCCGGCGGCCTTGAATTGATAATAGGTGGCAGAAGAGAGTGGTTGGTAGGCGACGAGTGGTCCACAGTTGGTGGTGTCAATGGCTCCGTAGGTGAAGACTCCTCCTCCGACGTTGTTGGCGGCTCCTCTGTGCTCAAGCCAGACGGTGAAGAGTGGTTGATCGAGGATTCCTTGGTTGATGGCGTTAATGAGTGGTGGGACAACTCCGTCGACGGCGAGGGAGGTGAAGGCAAGTCCGAGGATTCCGTCGGTGGCGTCATTCTTGAAGTCAGCGGAGATCTTGCTGGCGATTCCGAAGGTGGTGGATGGGACGGTGAGTTGAGATTCTCCCTTGGCTCCGAACTGAAAATTTTGATTTTCGCAATGTGTTGCCGATCTTTTCAATTTCAAATAACTTAAATGTCGAACTGATAAGGAAAAAATTTCTTATATTTTTAATTCTAGAACTTTCTTGATCAAACTAGATTCTAGAACTAGAAAAACTCACTCTGACGGTATCCGTTCCGAGGATTCCGGCGGCATCTCCAGATCCGTATTGGATGGTCCATGATTGTCCGTTCTTCACGAATGTGCTGGATTGGGTGGAATCGAACTTGCTCTTGGTCTTGCAGTTGGTCCTAAAAGATTCATTTGCGGCTCTGTGAACTTTTTCGAAAACTCACTTGCAGGTTGGTCCTGGAACCCAGAGATTGGATGATCCGGTGTCCAAAACAACAATGAAGCTTTGATCTGGAGTTCCGATGGTGATGTTTCCAAGGTACTCGAAGTCTCCAAAGTCATTGACGTTCTGTGGAAGGTTGGAAAGGACTTCTGGGGAGGTGGCACGGAGATTTCTCTGGTACTCGAGATAAGCGGCGTACTCTCCATTACGGATCATCTGAATCTTCTTCGAAGGCCTCCATGAGAGCTTGTGTTGGTGAACTGCAGCCGATGCAAGGCCAAGAACGGCCAAAAGGATGAGGGTCTTCATACCTGAAAAGAGTATAGTATTGAAACTGAAAGGGAAAAGAGCCGCTGCTGCTGCTATTCATAACAAAAGTCATGGTCAAAATGGAAATTTCTTGCAAAAAATTCAGATAGTGGCCAATGTTTTATACCTGTTTGACAAACTCACGGGCGCGCTGACGTATGCTTAATTTGGCATGATAACAGACCCGCCTCCTTATTTGGTTTGCACCCAATCGGTGCGGCGCGTTATCAGTAAAGAGTAGATACACAAGAGGAGGAAAATAACTGATTCCGGCTTCTGGGGAAAGTGTAGAGCAACAGCTTTTACGAGCTAATAAAGTGCGAGTAGTAAAAAGAAATTGACTCGAAAATGTACCGACAAGTTCCGTGAACCTTCAGACCCGGAGATGGATGACAATTCGGGTCGAAAAGTGACATAGCAGGTCAATAACAATAGGATTCTGGGGAGAGTGACTTTTTGATTTTACAGGGCCTACGTGATACAAGTTCCGTGGCTAAACTACACACAGACAAAGAATCCAGATGTATATAAGTAACAGGGGAATCAGACAAAGTATTCAACTCTTGAACTGTTTCAAAAGATGAGAACACTTTTCATCGTTTTATTAACCCTTCTGGGTCTATCCTCTGCCCTGGTGGTGCAACATCAGATGGTCTATCGTGAATCCAGACGGTCTCAGATGATGAGACGTGGAGAATGGGGAGCATACCTCCAGCACAAGGCAGCTCTTCGTGATTCCAATCCATCAGTCTACGCAAGTCTCCCACAAAATGTAAACGACTATGGAGATGTTGAATACCTTGGGAACATCACCATTGGAACACCACCACAACCATTCCTGGTCGTTTTGGACACCGGATCATCTAACCTTTGGGTGCCAGGAACTACTTGCGAGTGAGAATCCTTTTTTTGCCAAAGTTTTCAGAGATACAAAATTTCAGCGGAACTTGCAAAGGAAAGAAGACATTCGACTTCTCGAAATCCACAACATTCGTCGCTAACAATCAAACATGGGTGATTCAATATGAAGGTGGAAATGCTAAGGGGTACTTGGGACAAGACACTGTATCATTTGGAGCAGCCAATGAACAACAACTTCCAGTTCCAAAAACCACTTTTGGAATTGCAACGCAAATTTCTGCGGAGTTTAAAAATGTAAGGAGGTTAACTAATTTGGGATTTTCCAAAGTTTAAATTTTAGGACGCCGCCGATGGAATCCTCGGACTTGCCTTCACCGCTCTCTCTGTCGGGCATGTCACCCCAGTTCTCATCAACGCCATCAACCAAGGAATCCTGGATCAACCACTATTCACAGTCTGGCTAGAACACGTCGGGACTGCCACGAATGTTAAAGGAGGAGTCATGACATACGGAGCCATTGACACCACCAACTGCGGACCGGTTATCGCCTACCAACCACTTTCCTCAGCCACCTACTACCAATTCGTTGCCACTTCTTTCAAACTGGGAAACTATGTGCAGTCTAAGACCTACCAAGTCATCTCCGACACCGGAACTTCTTTCGTCGGAGGACCACAAGCTGTCGTCGATGGTATGGCTAAAGCATTGGGAGCTACGGTAGGTAATTATTTTGTTTCAAATCGCAATTCTGTGATTTCAGTTCAACCAAGATTTCGGATCCTACTTCGTCCCATGCGCCAATATCAAGACATCACCAACCCTCGACATCACCATCGGATCCCACGTCTACTCCATTGACGCTGTGAATTACATTATTGATATCGGAATGGGAGATGGCAATTGCTTCTTCGCTGCATTTGCATTCAACAACTTTGGATTCGGACCAGCCTGGATTCTTGGAGATCCATTCATCCGTCAATATTGTAATATCTATGATATTGGACAGCAGCGTATGGGATTCGCTAAATCGCTTCAGCCTTGAATCTTTATGTAGTTGTTGTTGTTCACAATAAAGGTTTTTCAGTATACTGGTTAACAATGTCTAACAATCCTCTGATATACAGAACCCGTCCGTGTTTCGGCCATTTTGACCTTTTTCAGTAGCCTGGAGCTTTTTCAGCGGTTTGCCAATCTCTGAAAGACACCCCTTTTTGGCCCATTTTGTACTGAAAACATGAAAACCAGGTATCTTTCTGAAGAAGTTCGGAATTTTCAAAAAATCTGTGAATACAAAATTTTCAATCTGGGTATGTTTTACACACTCCAAAATTTTCAAAGGATCAGAAACTTTACAGCCGAGCTCCAGACCTCTGAAAATGTCAAAATTGCCGCAAATCTACTGAAAAATAGGTTACGGTACCTTTCGTAAACTCTGGACATTGAAGGCTCAAGTTCACAAAAAATCCAGAGTTCTAGCTCGTCTGGATTCATAGTTGGTGGATATGGTGACTCATTTTCAGTACTACTTTTATTATTTGCCAATTATTGAACTTAAACAAAGTTTTGTTTTTAAAACAGTAACTGACATCATTTATTGTTTTTTTCCTTCATATCAGCTCTTCACACCTATCACTCTTGCCCATTTCCGCCTGCTCCTGTTCTTGTACATTCGAAGTACAAACATCCTGACCATCACGTGCTCTATCTCGGGTCCTGATGACAATGAGCCGGAACTTTCTTAGCTGATAAGCTTCTTATAGAACTGAGCTACGTATTTTGATTTCATATCAACAGTTTCTCTCATCAGATCAGCCCCAGAGATTGACGTCAAGCGCACGAACTTTGACTGAAAGAGATTTTGTACTTTTTTAGATTCTTGATCTTCCAACGAACAAATTTCAACCGTCTAATTAAGATCATAAGATCTATTTATCAGTTCGAAAGTTCAATTGATGTCCTAGTTTTGAGTTTGAGTTTAAAACTTTGATAGTCTGAAATCATCTTACACACTTTTTTCTGCATGGAAACCCACGTCACAGACTGTTATTTGGTTGAATTAAGTGATAAGGAAATCGGAGCGCAAACTCAAATAAAACAGGAATCTGTTACCTTGTCGGCATTTTTTTTTCATTCTTATCTTGTTCCTAACACCTTTGCCATACCGATCTTCATTTTGGCTCACAATTCTTTATGCTTACTATTAGAATTTTTTGAAAACCACTACTTCATCTGAAATTTGAAATTCTAGGTATGAGGACCACATTCATCGCACTGATTGCCCTTCTGGGCCTGTGCTCGGCAGCCGTCCTTCAGCACCAATTGATCTACCGTGAATCCCAAAAGATTCAGATGATGAGACGTGGAGAATGGGGAGCCTATGTGCAACATAAGGCTGCTCTTCGTGATGCCGATCCAGCGGTCTACGCCAATGTACCACAAAACGTTAACGATTTCGGAGACTTCGAATACCTTGGAAACATCACCATCGGAACCCCATCCCAACCCTTCCTCGTCGTTTTGGACACCGGATCTGCCAACCTCTGGGTTCCAGGACCAACTTGCGAGTGAGTAACTGAGTAAGCGAAAATATGCTTAAACTTTATATAATTTCAGTGGCTCTTGCTCTGGAAAAAGAGTTTTCGACTCCTCCAAGTCCACTACCTTCCAAGCCAATGGAAAGCCATGGACCATCCAATACGGATCTGGAAACGCCAAGGGATTCCTCGGAGAGGATACCGTTGCCTTCGGAGCCGCCACCGAGAAACAACTTCCAGTCCCATCCACCACTTTTGGAATTGCCACACACATCTCATCCGACTTCAAGAATGTAAGTTTCGAAATCAAAACTCGGTTCTGTAGATTTCATTTTCCAAGAATAAAAGGTCCAGGGTCCGAGGTCTTAGGGTACATGGGATCTTGGGACGTAAATCCGGGGACTTTAGATTCAAAATTTGTTTTACTGTCTGAAAAACGTCTTGTCTGAAAATAAGTTTCATCAGACAACGAAACACCTTGTGCAAATAGAAAATGCTGTGTAATTTTACTACTTGTTTCTGTCAGAGAACTTTGATAAGAAACCGAAATAAAAATTAAAATGACTATGAAGAAATGCAATTAAAATATTTTTGGAGTGAAAACCGGAATTCGAATTCTTGCTATTGACTTTTATTAGTTCCAGGAAGCAATAAAACTAACGACATGCAAAAAATGAAGTTGAAAATGTTCAGTTTACAAAACCAAGTTTTATAGGATGCCGCTGAGGGAATCCTCGGTCTCGCTTTCACCTCCCTTGCTGTGGACCATGTTGTCCCACCACTCATCAACGCCATCAACCAAGGTCTTCTCGATCAGCCAATCTTCACCGTCTGGCTTGAGCACAAGGGAGCCGCCAACAACGTCGGAGGAGGAGTCTTCACCTACGGAGCTCTTGACACCACCAACTGCGGACCAGTGATTGCTTATCAACCTCTCTCCTCTGCCACCTACTACCAATTCGTTGCTTCCAAATTTACTCTTGGAACCTACACCATTGCCAAGAACTATCAAGTCATCTCCGACACCGGAACCTCTTTCCTCGGAGGACCAAAGGCTGTTATTGCTAACCTCGCCCAGACTCTTGGAGCCACTGTAGGTTTTTTTTCACTATTATTTCTTTAACGGGTTAAAGAAGGCAAGAAATTTTTTCAATGTTGTATAGATATTTTGCCCAGTGAACTCCCCATGACGTGTTGAACTTATGAGGGAGCTCAAACGTTTTGCTGCCTCACCTCTTTGAACAACAAAACTGTCCTTCCAATTTTTTGCTGTCTCATCTTCTCTAACGGTTTTTAGTGATTGAAAATATGTACCCCTGAATCTAGTCTTTTTCAAGTCCTCTAGTCTTTCATCCATTAACTCACACAAAACCATTTACAGTACCACAGCGACGATGACTCCTACTATCTTCCATGCTCCACAAACATCGGAACCCTCGACATCCTCATTGGATCCAACACTTACTCCATCCAACCAATCAACTACATCATCGACGTCGGAATGGGAGATGGAACTTGCGTTTTCGCTGCCTTCGCTTTCAACAACTTTGGATTCGGACCAGCCTGGATTCTCGGAGATCCATTCATCCGTCAATACTGCAACGTTCACGACCTTGGACAGCAGCGTATGGGATTCGCTCCATCACTCCAAGCCAAATAAGATCTTTTCCCATAATTTTATGAACCTTGTGCCCTTAGAATGAAATGAAGTTGTTTGGTGCTCTATTGATAAGCAATGTATTCTAGTTTTTTTGAGAAAGCTTTATAAGAAAGTTCAATGAGAACATTTCCTGTCAGTTCTTATCGCAGATCGAGTACCAACCTTTATTAATTTTTCTAATAACTTTTTGTCCTATTCATTCTATTCAAGCTGCAATTTTCAAACAAGATTTAATATTTCGATCAGTATTGAATCCTAAAAACCATGCTCTTCTACCCCAAGGCGTTCACGACTTCCAAGATTCTGAATACATTGGAATAATCACCATAGGAAACCTTATCAAACTTTTAAGGTAGCCATGCAAACTGGAACTTCCAGCCTATGGATCCCAGCTCCAGAAGCTGAGTGAGTACCCTACCCTAAAACCTGTAATAGAAGGGCCCCTGGCTTTTAAATTATTTTCTGATAAGCTAGATAGATAAGCTAGCTTAAATTTGACAGAGTGGTGCCCTTCTATTACAGGTTCGATTCCAACCCTTCCCAGCTCATTTTCCAGCTCTTCATGCAACGGAAAATCTCATTTCTATCCTAAAATTTCCGACACCTTCCGAACAACTGGGCAAGATTTTGACTTGTCATATGGAATGGGAACACTGTTCCAAGATAGAGTTTTCGGGTACATGGCACAGGACCTGGTGACGTTTGGAGCCTATGAAGGAGCACAGTTGAAGATTGCAAATAGTATTTTTGGATTGGCGTTGAGTGTTACAAGTAGATTCAGTAATGTAAGTTGAGTTCTTTTATTTTTTTAAGTTGAAGTCTTCCAGGACACCAACATTGACGGAGTCCTTGGCCTTGCTCCAGCTATGAACTACGACCGAATCTACCTATCTCCTCTTCTGAATGCCATCCAACAGGGTCTTCTAGATTACGATCTTTTTACAGTATATCTGGAAGATCATGGATCACAGAAAAACGTTCCAGGTGGCAGGTTCATATTTGGTGGAATTGATACGGACAATTGCGGGGCGGTTATTGACTGGCTCCCATTTGTATCGTCTGTTAATTATGGGTTTATGGTAGTTATAAGTAAAAGATTATCTCTGTTGGATATGACTTTTCAAATTCAGATTGACGGAGTGTCTATTGGAAACTATTCTTTGAATCGTACAATGCAAGTTATGACCGACACTGGAACTCTGTTTATTGCTGCCCCATTTTACGTACTGAATGGGATTGTGGCTACTTTGGGAGCACGGGGTAGTATTCGTTTCCCATCCAATATGAACAATGATGTTCCAGTACGACAACACCACTAAAAGCTATTATGTCCCATGTGATGGGGAAAAAGAGAACTTGAATTCTGTGATTGGAGGTAAATCTTACTCTGTGGAACCGAGGAATTATATTCTTGAAGTGAGATTTCAGATTTACTATTCAAGTAAACAAAAACTTTTCAGACCGACCAAGCCAACACCTGTCTTCTGGCTATCAGTGGCCTCAGTGGTTACGGTATGGGACCCACGTGGATTCTGGGAACCCCGTTTATGAGGCAATACTGTCACATTCATGATATTGGAAACCAGAAAATGGGTCTGGCGAAAAGTCGTCAGAAGTTCTGAATCAGAGCAAATTTTTATAAAATTTCATTTTTGTACGAAATATTAATGTTGTGCAGAATATCTTGATGTTGAACTGGGGAAAATGTGAATGTTCGATGTTGTAGGACAGTGCATAGTTCCTGGAATACAATTTTTTGTAATTTTAACTTTCCTAGTTTCAAATTTACCTATCACAGCTTTTCTGAAACTTGCGACACATGTTATTGCTATTATTGGTTCCAGTAAAGGATAGACTGCCAAACTGCTGCTAGTCAGATTTCCGAGGTACGGTATATCCTTGCCAAACAGGGGTAGGGCTACAAATAGAGCAACCGGAGTGTACATAGTAATCATTGGAATGACAGTCTGAAATTTTTACATTCCGTATAAATTTTTATAAATACTGTAAAATTGAAGTACCCCCTCACTTGCAACTTTGGCAAATTTATCTCGGTTTCTATGAGAGATATCAAAAATGTGAAAATGTGTCAACTGATAAAATATTGGTGATATCTTGATAAACATATTATCAGTTTACATATTTTTGATATGTCAAATAGAAATTGGGGTAATTGAGCTCAAATTTGAGAGTGTGCGTGCGTTTCTATTACAGGTTTGACAGTAAATAAAAGTCAATACCTGAATGCATAACATTCGGAACAGTTGCTTATTGACATCTAGCGTCTTCGAACTGAAATGATGCTTGGAATTTCTCATTTTCGCGTAAATTCGAGATGCACAAAATATTATAGTGAAGAAGCAGCACATCTGGAAATTCCTCAATTCTACTTGCAAGTTCGGAAGTCATTCAGCTTACCAACGTAGTGCAACAACTGAATGAAGCTAGGACTTCCCATGGTTTCCAATGCATTTCCCCATTTGGATCGCGAGACCAATACATGGGTCCGACAAATGGAGTCACAGTAGAATCCACGTGGAAACAGGACATCAGCTCTTCCTGGAGATACATTTGCTTCTCGAAAGTTCTCGGCATCCCGTGGAAAAAACCAATGTGCCAAACTAGGAATACAAAAACGGCTGGGATAAAAATCAACCAGAGTTTCAGTCCTTGAAGGTGCGCAAGGAGATGTGTTCTAGAAATTGTTTCATTTATTTCATTTTTCTGAAAAAAAACCCTTGCCTGCATAATGCTAAATACCGGTAAATGAATTGACAAGCTAGAAGAGAGGCCACAAATCCGGAGAGCACACAGTGCAGACCTGAATGCTTAGAAGGAAGTTAAGATTCAGGGTTCTAGACTTACAGGTCAAAAATTGTCCGAGTGGATTTGACAAGCTCAAAATACTGCTATCCATGAAAACTACAAACATTGATCCCTTGATATGAGCGACCTGGAAAAAACTAATCTGAAAATCCATTTCCAACCGTGCAATTCTGTCCAAAAACCGACTTCCCAGCTCATCTAGAAATCGAGATACGGTCATTTGAAGTTCCTAATGTTAGAAACGCAGCGTGTCTCGTCGTATGCGTCTCTAGTCTCTCCTATCCTTAAAACGACTCTATCTCGGTTCCTAGAAATGCTAGAAAGGTGATTTTTGAACAGAATTGTAGGAAATTTTGAAATCCAAGATTTTTCTGTTTAAGGAGGCTAGGGGACTTTGTGGTGAACAAAATCGAGCCGACCCGAAAAAAAACTCACCGGTTGCACTAAAATTTCCACCCATGAATATAGCATAGAGCACAATGTAAAAACCAGCATTGCATGTCTATAATTCCCCAGAACATTTTCAGATCTTGTTAAGATTAGGAACACCAGAATTGAATTTAGGAATTGTGAACCGACGAATCCAACATAGTGGATCAGGTGGAGATAACGAACCAGCTCACTTGTACACACCATATTTAGGTAAAGTGATAAATTGACAAGGAACAGATACTACAAATATTGTACCAGAAATCGGATGAGCCTGAAATGCAGTTTTAGTATTTCCTCTAATAGAAGCCCACCCGAACCGTCATTTTTGAGCTCAACTATCTTGATTTCTTTGAAAGACACCAAAAATCTGTAAATTGATAAAATCTTCATCATGATATCACTAATATTTTATCAGTTGACACATTTTTTATACCTTTCACAGGAATCGAGATAATTGAGCTCAAAGTTAAGTGGGCTTCTATTAAAAGAAATGCGGTTTTAAGTGCGCTGAAAAAAAGAATTGAGACATTATATAGGTACAGCTAGTCACGAAAATAAACTAACAAGAAAGGAAAAACAAAAAAAAGAGAATAAAGTTTGCGAAGGTGTTATCGAATTCACGAAGGTGTTTAGATCAAATTAGAAACGATTAGGTCAACGTTTTCAAATCCTGCAAAATTATACTAGACAAAAATACACGAGATTTGTCACTTCTCCGCCCAAATCGTTGTAGTACAAGTGTTTGAAAATATTATAGATGAAGTTGTTATTGAGTGACCCACACGTCAGAATCTAGGCAAAATTTGGGGTAGGAATCAGATCAAATTGGATTATCTGCAGAGAGTTACTTTTGAATTTATATATTCCAAGAAAGAAGAAAATTCAGACAGACCATCGATTAAAAAAGATATTGAAAAAAGTGTGATTCGGTGGTCGAAAATAATGGAAAAAGAGGAAAATTGAAAATCAAGAAAATCAGTCATCTCGCACGCTAGCCAACCAAATTCACAAATATTCAAAGACCGGAAAGTTCAGTTTTTGAATCGAACCCAATTAGGTTTTTTGAAAAATCATACTACGATTTTGATAATAAGAGGAAGTACTCCATATTAGCCGGAGATCTAGTCTGTAACGGAAGATCAAAAGATTTCTTAATGCTCATTGGACTGGAACGGGAGATCAGGAAACTCCAATTTTCCGTGCAGAAAGTAGTTCCTCTTAGAAATCATTACTGGTGAAAAGGAAGTTCCATAAGATCGAAAAGTTTTATTTTGGGAGACAGCACAGGGGTCCAAAAGGCTTGGTCAGAAATCGCGCCCCAGATAACTGGAGGCAAGACACTAGAAAAAGGTTTTCGAGATATTTTGTCTAGTGAACCCCCATAAGGAGTTTACTCATGTGTAAATTTCCTACAATTATATCTAAGAATCATCTTTGTAGCACTTCTAGAAACCGAGATAGAACCGCTTCAGTTTAGGAGGCGACGAGACGCAGGCGGCGAGACCCACTGCGTCTCTAACCTTGGGAACTTCAAATGGTCGTATCTTGATTTCTAGATAAGGTAGGAAATCGGTTGAAATTATGAGGAACAATGCAGGGTACAGCTCCGCTACCGGTTGAGCTACGCAGGCACAGAACCAGCTGCCAACCTGACCTACATAAGCTCAGCGCGTTTTTGTTTCCCAAATTGTTCCCCAAATTTTTTGTTGTCTCTTTTTTAATAATACAAAAATATATAAAATCATTTTTATTAAAACGCAGTTATAAAACAAACATCACAAAAATAGTTATTTGATTTTTTCTGACCATATTAAAGCTTCAAAAAAGACCCGAGCGTCTGAAACATGAATAAAAAGAGAAGTGAGACATGAGGATCTAAAATCACAACTGACAATCAAACGCAATTCAAAAAAAATTTGCAGTTAGAATAAATATACGAAATTTGGATAAGGAGGAAAAAGGATAAGAAATGATAAAAAGTTAAAAATCCTCAAGACTTTTCTCGGATTCCGGAGCCACCAACGCATTCGGTCGAGATGATTTGTGTCGTTTTGAATAGTCCCATTCTTGAACTTCCGCAGAGGCAAAGATCACAAAAATGATGGCTCCGAACGCTGTGGCAAAGGTGTAAGCCAAGAGGATAATAGGCCAATTTGTAACTTTTGTTCCGTTGGTTTCAGTTTGGAAGATTGACATCATCAGTGGAGAAATGGATCGGCCAAGGAATCCTAGAAATTTGAGCCTATTTTTTATCCAAAAAAATTCAAGAACTTACCAATAACAGTTCCAAAACCAGTCAACGTTCCAATATGTGACGGAGCAATTGAAAGAAGCGCTGTGTAGAAACCGGAAATGGAGAGACTGAAGAACACGGAAATACCTGAAAATATTTGACGTTATTTTGCTCTTGAGCAGTGTGTCTGTTCGGAAAACATTTTTTGGAAATTTTTCTCGAATAGTGGCCAAACTTTCTCAAAATGATTTTTGTAGGCCACCGTAGGTTATTAAGCATGGTGACCTAAATTTTGCAATATGGGTTTCCTAGGTCGCCATGTAAACATCGACCTGATGTGTTTTCTATGCCAATTTAACGTGGTGGCCTAAGTTTTGCAGAGTTGGTTTTCTAGGCCCCCCACCATTTGTTGACCTGGAGTTGTTCTCATATGTATTTTTATGGGGTGGCCTAGAAAACTCAGTTCGCAGAAGTTAGGACACCGCTTCAAAAAGACCTAGAAAACACACCAAGGTCATGTTAGGTCATTTTACCGTGGTGGCCTAAAAAACTAAACTTGCAAAAATTAGGCCACCACTTTGAAATCCCTTAGAAAAACCACCAGGGTCATGTTAGGTCGATTTTAGGCCATTTTATCTCGGTGACCTAGAAAGCTCAATATGCAAATATTAGGCCAACGTTAAAACTATGAACTATCTTCTGAACTTACAAGATAGCAACACAAGAGCCGTAGTTTGCTGGTTACAATTTACAAATGTCAACAAAAAGCAAGAAACGGAAATGCCCATCATCGAAGTGAATTGAGACAGTTTGCAAGTGGCGGTTGGAGACATGATCTTCTTTTTTCGCAACATATCCATCACATATCCCCAAATCAGTTTGGCAATAAGGTTGGATAGATGAGGGATGGCAGAGTAGAAACCGTTCTGAAATTATTTTTTTATTAGGTCATGCAATTTTGAATTCAAAACACTTACCGATTTTACATCCAACTTGAGCACATCTTTGAAATAAACCGGCATATAAATGAAGATCAATGCAATCATCATATTTCCAACTACACTATTGCACATCAGAGCCCAGAAAACTCTAGATGTAAGCATTCCTTTCCATGGGACCTCCAACTTTTTGGACACAGAATTGTGCTTTGGTGGAATCTGATTGGCTAGATAATCCAACTCTCTTTCGTGAATCCATTTAGTATTATGTGGAGAGTTTCTAACTGTCAGATGCCAAAGAATCAACCAGGAGATTCCAAAAAGGCTAGCACTGTAGAAAATAGAGCTCCATCCGAATACAGGGCTGGCGCATAACTCTGCGATGAGAATGTTTCCGAATATTCCAGAAAGTTGATTTCCAGCAGTGAAAATCGCAGCTGCCAGACTTTTCTCATTGACTGGGATCCATTTGGTGACGACTGAATTCAGAGAAGGGATCAGAAGAGTCTCACTGACTCCCATGAGGAATCGACTGACAATTGCTCCTGGTGCTTGGAAGGTTGTAGCCAGGAATGGCATCAGGATTGCAGCAGCTGTTAGAATGAAAATGGCAGCTGAGAGATTGTGTCGAGCTGAGAATCTGTCGACGAGGAATCCAGCAGGGTAGGAAAATAGGAATCCACCAAAGAACGTCGCGGAGACAACTGCACTTTGCCATTCGGTATCCCAGACGAGGTCGCCCTGAAATTTAACTATCTAGTTGTTAAAATTCTCCTAATTTCACTCACTCCATAATCCACTGGTTTTTTATCAAACTCTGCGCAATTTTGCTCTTCAAAATCGCTAATCAACTTTGGAGTCGTTGAAGAAAGGAGCTCCAATGGAATTGCCGGTGTCGTCGTTGAGTTTTCCAATGTTTTGCTAAAAAATGTTTTTTAAAGTTCTAGATTCATACACTTATCACTCACTTTTGGTTCAGCAAAGCGATTGCTGTGGAGTTGCACATGCATGATAGTGTGAATCCAATTGGCCCGGATATTTGAGCCATACAGAAGTAGGCGTACATAAGCATAAGAACTACATGTAGGCGTCGGGATCGAAGATGGAGGAATGCTGAAAAGATGAAGTAGGACCATCTAACTTTCAAGTTTAGGCCAATTTTTCTTGGTTCTTATGAAAGATTTGAAAAATCAGAACTATTTTGTCAGTTTACACAACTTTGATATCTAGCACATGAACCGAGATAAATTAGCTCAAATTTGACAGTATTGAGGTCCTTCTGTCACAGGTTTTACGGTAACAATGATTATGGGAACTTTCAAGGATCCACTTAATCCAATGTAATTTTCTTTTTTCAGACACTATCAGAATTTTCAATTGTTTTCCCAAAAAAACTTACGATGACTCTGTTTCCCCGTTCCAAACTCATCCTCCGCAAACTTCTCGATCATCTGATCCTGCGAAAATCTTTTTGAGAAAAATCACGTCGGAGCAATAGGAAGAAAAAGATACTTGAGTAGAACGGAGCTTAAAAAACGATCAGTATGGAAAAAAAGACACGAAAGTGGAACAGAAAAGTTCTTGTCAAATTCAAAATTAGATTAATAGGGACTGTGTAGCTAGAAAAATTACCGCAAACACTCTAATAGAAAATTACCTTCCGATTTTTTTTGAGCTCACATATCTCGGTTACTGTAACAGATATCAAAAAGTAGTCAATTGGCAGAATCTTTGTGATATTATGATGAAGATTTTGTCAGTTGACCACTTTCTGATATCTTTAAAAAAAACCGAGATAAATTGGCTCAAATTTCAAGGGTAGGGTGGCCTTCTATTGGAGTGTTTCGGGGAATAGGTTCATAATTTCCCAGACAAAGTTTGTAGCTTTTTGTAGTTTGGCCACCCTACCCTTGCAATCTATTAAGCTTTGTCTGGGAAATTATGAACCATTTTAAGCAATTTTTTTAAAGCTACAAAACTACAAAATCTACAAAACTACAAAAAGCTACAACACTACAAAATTAGAAATTTGATTTTTAAAAAAATTTAATAAATTTTAATAAGATGAACAGACCAATGACATTTTCAAAGTTTTTTGACAGTATAACGACAGCAACTAGTTTCCAGCTGGCTTATGAAATTTCCAGGCATACTTCAATCAACCAAAAACCTTCAGAAATCAAATCAATAAGAAAAGCAGATCTCATAGAAACATCAACAAGTTGTGTGTCACCTGTCTAGCTAGTTCCAGAAGTTCTAACATCAGTTAGGAGCATGGACAAAAAACGCGTATAATGGAGTGTCGCCTACTGGCGATAAAAAATTAACTATTCGAAAATTTCGTCAAGAATTGATAAGAGGGAAGTGGTGGTGGAGCACTTGGAGCACTACAATCTGGCGCGTTTTCACTAAATGAAACGGAAAGTCAGTGAAAAAAAAAACAACGATTTACGAAATCTTTCGAAAGTGGGAATGATGACAAAAATCTAGAGATGATGACAAAACGTTGGTTGTACCACCAAGAGCACGAAATTTTGAGCACAGTTTTTGAGCTCAATCAATTTTCATTCATTATTACGGGTATAGGGATACATACAAAATACAAACAAAGCACATATTCGTTTGCTTTGTGATCGAAATTTAATAGAAATTTGGGGAGAAATGATGATGGGGAGGAAGGTATGATGTGTAAACGAACGGACGGGGAGAGATAGAGAGAGCAGTGAAACAAGCAATGAGCGCGTTTTTTGGTGCACTTGATCTTTGGGATTTTAGAGAAGGATATGGGATAGAAGGGTCAAAAAGAGCAAAGAAGAGGAAATTAAAAAGAGTGAAAAAATACAATTAAAAATTTCAGATTGAATTGGTTTATGGAGAGAGATATGAGTTGGTTTTGTTCCATGTGGAATACTTGGAAAATAGCTGAAAAACTAAAAAAAACAGAAGTTCACGGGAAAAAGATTTTTTGCAAAAAGTGTTAAATAGATTGGTAAATCTCGGTACCGTACAACCTCTATTAAAAGGTTCCTCTAATTTTTAACTTGGAAAAAATCTATCTCGGTTCCTGTGAAAAATACTTAAAAGTAGCTAACAGATGAATTGTTCGCATTCTTGATATCTTGCAGAGGAATTGAGATGATTGAGCTCAAACTTGACATTGCGGGGGTCCATTCTAGGTTGTTGTAAAGTTTTAGGTCATGACAATGTACAGCAGTGATAGGAGGAATGAAAATAGTGTGCCAAAACTTTTCAATTGCTCTGAAAAGCTCAGATTTTACTAACCATACATATTTGCAGAATTCGATTCTGATAAGATACCGTATTTACTCTAATAGAAACTCTTCCAAACCGTCAACTTCGAGCTCAATTATCTCGATTGCTATAAGAGATATCAAAATTTTGTCAACTAATAAATTTTTATCATAATATCACCAATACTTTTTCAATTGACACCTTTTTGATATCTTTTACAGAAATCGAGTTAATTGAGCTGAAAGTTGACGGTTTGAGTAGGCTGTCGTTAGAAGGATTACGGTATGCTTTTGTAATCAAAAAAGTGCCAAAAATTAGTACTGAAATGAAAGTTGTGCCACTTAAAAACTGCCTATCCCACTTAGTTGGACTTGTCAAAAAAAAAGGTTTCAATTACAAAATTAAAGCTTTAACCTCGCTTAAAATACTCATAAATTTTCAGACAAATCGAACATTTCTAAGCTACATATTCAGGACTTCCAATTTGATTACCGTAAAACCTCTAATAGAACGACACCCGGATCGTCCACTTTGAGCCTATATATCTCATTTTCTGTGAAAGATATCAAAAAGTGGCTAACTAGTAAAATGTTGCTGATATCCTGATAAACATTTTACTAGTTAACCACTTTTTGATATCTTTCAAAAGAAGTGAGATATATAGGCTCAAAGTGGACGATCCGGGTGTCGTTCTATTAGAGGTTTTACGGTATATTCCACTGACAAAATCAAAAAGTGATGCATTTTTGTGTCTGAAATTTCTGCAAGATCTTATTTTCAAAATTCAAACTACGTTAACATTCATTTTTCCTAAATAGAAAAATTTGATAGCTACAAACTGAAATATCTAATTTCACACATCAAAATCACACTTCTGGGCCCTCCCACGAACATAAAGTGCTCTGCTTTTTTCCAATTTCTCATGTAGACATCATATGTTACCATATAAGCCGTGCGGTTTAAAAATGAGCCGATTATTGCGGTTTTGAGCTTTTTTTTCAAAATTTGATGATACATTAACTTCTAAAAAATTTCGACGACAGAAGATCGAAATATGAACCCATTTGTAGTATATTTGAGAACCTAGACTCATTTTACTACACTCCAAGTTTCGAAAAGAAATACGAACACAAGACAATTCTAAACTCCTCCAGCGCCCACTTTTTCCTATTTTTAGATGTTCCTATCTCCTGTCTCGAGGTCCCTGTTTTCACTAATGCAATATGGGATTCAGATGACGTGGCAAGCAAAATGACGTTGTTTGTTACGGAAGTGGGCAGACGATGCAAACTTCTAGAAGAAAAAGAGTTTTCTTGCAGTGAATTGAATCAAGAAACTAAAGTCTAAAGCTACAATGATTTTTAAGAGTTTGATCCATTCAAACTGATAAAAGTTAAGCTTTTCAGACTATTAAATCGTATCATTCAAAAAATATATATCGAAAAAGGAAACGAGCTACAAAAATCGCTAAGTAGTGAGCTAGAAAAGAGAGATTAACGCGTTTTGTTGATTTTTCTTCTTTGCCAAGTACACTTTTTTCGGGCGCATGTGTCAGCAACTTTTTCTTAATTCGCTTCGGTTTTTGAAGAAAATTTTGTTGATAAACGTTGATAAGATTATGGTTTTTGTCACGATCACAAGCAGGGATTAGTTTGGGCTACAGATGGAAGATGATAAAGCGAATTTTTTGGGAAAAAAAAGGCAAATATAGGAAACGGAGGTGGAAAGTTTAAGAGTAAATTATATTTTCAAAAATATAATTTACTTAGAAAAAGGAGAATTGCACAATTTAGGTTAATTTTTAGAAAATCGATTTTTCAGAATTTCGCAAATTCACGTAAAATCTGTAATAGAAGGGCCCTTGCATTATCAAGTTTGAGCTCATTTATCTCGGCTCCTATAGGATATCAAAAATGTGTCAACAAATAAAATGTTAAAATAAATATTATGATAAACAGTTTATCAGTTGACAACTTTTTTATATCCATAGCAGGAACCAAGATAAATTTGCTCCAATTTAGTACTTAGTATGCCCTTCTATTACAGGTTTTACGGTAAATCATCCAAAAATTGTGATAAAAAAATTTTTCTAGTAGATGGTTGAAACTGTTTTAAAGGTGGGGGGACATGAAGAAAATAACTTTCTCGAAATTCCGTTTACTTACGCCCCTCGAGGAGTTGAACTTGTGGAGGCGAGGATTGCGGGTGCGGCGCCGCTACCGGCTGAGCTACGCGGGCAAAGGAAAAGCAGCTTCCCGATTGCATACATAAAGGCGAGGACGACAGCTGTACGCAGAGTGACATTAAGCGTTGTACACCGTTACGGTAGAATGCATACTCTGGCCCCAAAAATCCCTCGTAAAATCTCCTGTCCCCCCACCCTTAAGCATGTGTATTTTTATTTCTAAAAAAAGGTAGATTTCATGAGTTTTGAATCATGTTTCAGTTTAGAACTTCCTGCGGACTGCCCGATTTTAAAAAAATCAAAAGCATTTTTTTTGGAAAATCAATTTTTTTAATTATTAAAAATAAAATATACAAAATTTGTAGTTTTTCAGCAAGTCGTAGGTTGACGCTGTTTGAATCATACCGTAAACCCTGTAATAGAAGAGCCCCTACACTTTCAAACTTGAGCTCAATTATCTCGGTTCCTTTGAAAAATATCTTATAAATTTCAACTGATAAATTATTTATCATAATACCAGCAATATTTCATCAGTTGTCACCTTTTTAATATATATAACCGGAACCGAGATAAATTGGATCAAAAAGTTTATCAATTGAATTAAAAATGAAAACTTCAAAATTGCGAATGAAATTTGAAAAGAAACACACATATTTTCAAAAGTATAATATATTTTGAAAAGCTATAGAAAACTCATATTTCATGAGAAAGCAAATTTTTTCTTCAACTTTTCAATATCAAAAGAAAGAATTGATAAACTATCAACTACAAAAAATTCCGGCAGAAAAAAGTGCGAACCTGAAAAAATTGTGGTTAGACTTTTTCCTCCTCGTTCTTTTTTTTGAATTTCGAAATGTTTCACTAGAGAAGGGGATTTGGAAAACGAGAAGGAAGTGATGTGCTCCTTTTCTCTCCCAGAGCAAAGCTGCTCTCCCAGAGCAAAGCTGCTCCGAGTGCTCGTGCACTCAGAAAATGAAAAAAGAACGTGATGGCTACTCTGGTGACACTGACTAG